ACACAATACAGTAAATGACAGTAGCCTACTACAGCAATACACATTACTACACCTGTATATTCGGAACATACATTTTATGTTTGAACTTTGATATTTAATGTATGTAGGCTATAGAGAGAGAGAGAGAGAGTAGGTGAGCCACATTTGTGAACAGTTATTCTACATGATTAAATCAAAATTTACATTTAATTTATTTACTTTCTTAAAGCATTTCCTTGGTTTTATTTTTAACAACAACACAAAATATGATTGTTTTTTTTTTACATTCCACAATTTTTTTAACATTTAAATGATTTTTAAAATAAATTAATAATTTTATTCTGCAAGTAGGCTATGCATTGATCAAAGGTGACAGTGAAGACACTTAGGCCTGGTTTCACAGAGAGGACTTAGACAAAAGTGACATTTTAAGATATGTCAGCACAAGTTGCTTTCAGTTAAAACAGCTCAAACATGCTTTTTATTCTGGGACTAGTTTAAGCCTTGTCTGTGAAACCAGGGGATATAATGTTACAAAACTTTGTATTCATCAAAGAATCCTGAAAAAAAGTAGCATCACGATTTTCATAAGCAGCACAACTGATAATAATAAGAAATGTTTCTTGAGCACCAAATCAGCAAATTAGAAGGATTTCTTATATTAGGGATCATGTAACACTTACCGGTAAGCCTGAAATAACACTATAAATGAAATCATTTAAAATAAATTTTTCACAATATTGATGTTTTTACTTTTGTGATCAAATAAATGCAGTCTTTGTGACTTTAAAAAACATTGAAACATCTTACTAACTTTTGAAATTAGTGTATATTTGTTATATATATATATATATAAGTTTGATTAATGCTTAATTAATATTTCACCTTGCACGTGGATGTCTGTAGTGTGACTGTTTGTGTGTGTATTTCTATTGACAGATGCAGGTTATTAAGCATCCTGTTGAGAGACTGCATACTGCTCTCCTGTCCTCACGGAAAGATTTAATAAAAACATTTCAAAAATTCAGCAGAGCAGAGAAGACGTTTCTAGAAGATGGACTCCTGCCTGGCAATTCACTTTTCAGCCCCATCACCATTCACTCAGACTCTGACTGGATTCCTGCACATCCAGAAGATCTTCAAGACTTTCAGAGTTTTTACATCAACCCATACCGCCGTTCTCCAAACCGTGGACATAAAACCATCTATATTCAAACTATTGGTTAGTGTACTTAATATGTAAAACAGCTTAAATGTGTCATTTATTATCATGTTTACATTTGTAATTTTATCTTGTTGATAAATGCACAGGCTCTTTTGGTGAAGGAGTGGTTGTGGCAGAGCAGTATGTCGAATGGATGAAGGACTACTGTCAGGCGTTCTTTTACGGACTAGTGGTCAAGCTTTTACCACCAGTAACAGTTGCTTCAACAGCCTGTTCATTTCGGGTCAACAATAACACACATAACCTTCAGCTTCATGCTGGTTAGTATTGCTGCAACAGAACACAACCAGAATATAGTCAGTGAGGCACTTATATTTGGCAGACTTAAATTTGGTCTGGGCTTCATTCTGGTATGTAAGTAACGCCAAATTTTTACAATCCAGTCAATTCCTGGTGGTGGATAAAATCTGTTGTGACTAAACTATACATTATGATAATTAGATGGGTTACAAACGGCAGTTCACTTTGACTTTTAAACTGCTTTCTTTTATTTACAGGAGAGCTGTTGAACTTCTTGAAAAAGAGGAAGCCCAGAGATGCTTTTTGCATTGTGGGGATCACCATGATCGACTTGTACCCTAAAGAGTCATGGAATTTTGTTTTTGGCCAGGCTTCTCTAACTGAAGGTGATTTTTGATTCAGTTGCAGTGGTCTTATTAACTTGTGCTTCAAATGTTGTTGTAACTTGAAAGCAATGTTGTCATTGTAGCCCAGTGTGCGTTTTGATTTAATGCACCTTTTGTCATTTTAGCAGTTCTATTAAGTTTGAATGTTTTTGTTACTGTAGGAATGGGAGTCTTCAGCTTCGCCCGATACGATGATCATTTTTATGAGAGAAGCTATGCAGGGCGGCTTAAGAAGAAAATAGAGCTAAAGCAAGGAGACTATTCTGTGTTTGAGAGTTACTACGCTCCTCCAATCACCAGCGTTCTCCTCCTCCGCTCCTGCAAGGTGAAGTGAGATGACTGTGCTTCTAAACTCCCCAACCCTTACACAGAAAAAAGTGCATCAATGCTTTTTATGCTTTGGAATATACTTAAATAAACGCAAAACCAGTGAACAGATATTTTAACAAAGATTTTTTTTTATAGATGAAAAGACACTATCTAGGTCAGTGGTTCTCAATTGGTTTGGCCATGGGACCCACATTTTCCAGTGGTCATCAGGCTGCGACCCAAATTTTTCAGAATTTGAATCTAGCTAATTTATTTATCAAAAATGGTTGACACACACACACACACACACACACACACACAAGTACTGTCTCACTTTACTTAACATACATAGTATTGAAGAATATCACTAACACTGATCATCAGTATAAGGTAAGTGTATTAAATAGCAGTTGGCATGAGCCACCATAGTAATCAAAAATATAGAAAAGAAGACAAAGTGAAAATAAAGTAGTATTTTGGGTTAAGGTTTGGCTAAAGTTATCATGGTAAATACACAATACTAACATGAGCTGTTAATGAAACATATGGACACTGATCCTGATGAATAGAATGTACATTATACCTGCATGCAAATCATTCCCAGCTAAAACACAACGTACCAATTATGTAATTTATTGGTACAGTTTTGGTAATTTCGTGACTTATTAATTGACAACGTAACTAGGACGTTGCATGCTTGCTCTATAGTGAAGTGATCCCAGCAAGCAATTTTGCATTTAAAAGACGTCTAATAGCCGTCCAAACACAGCCCTGACGTCTAGGCTAAAACAAGGAAAAAATTCAGTGAAAATTGAATAGATGTCTAACCATAGCCCAAGAATAGGGCTTTGAAACAATGTGTATTTTGAAAAGCGCTATACAAATAAATTTGAATTGAATAGACTTGTCGTCAATTAGATAACATGTCAAAGAAATGAAATCAAACAACTGTTGACTTTGCTTACATGATGGAAGATATTTTAGCAAAAACGACATGTAACCAAATTCAAGGTTATTTTGGCTAGAAGTGGGTTACTCATAGCCGGACTATTTCGGGTCTATAATAAACCTGGCGGTGGAATGACGGCTATTGCTTGCTGGGGATATATTAGCATTTGCGTGCAATTGAAGAGCCCGCATGGTGAGCACAGTATAATGTCTGACAGGAAAAGTTACGAAAGTAACGTTAGAATAATGACGCTGACATACAGCCTGACAACATCTCATCAAACAGCAGATACCATCAGCACAATGTTTTTCTCAGGCAAAACTTTCAAACTAAAAGTCTTGCATTTTAAAAACATTTCATGCTTTTTTCTGTTGTTGTTTCTTTGACTACACAATCCGCGACCCACTCAAAACGGTCTTGCGACCCACTTTTAGGTCGCAGCCCAGCAGTTGAGAAACACTGATCTAGGTCATTGTGTGGTTGAAAATGTGTGTGGCTGTCTGTAAGTGCACTAAACTTTTTAATCAGACCTGTTATTTGTGCATCTCTTTTAGACCCTGACTCATGAGATTGGACATATATTCGGAATGGAGCACTGCCAGTGGCTAAACTGTGTCATGCAGGGCTCCAATCACTTAGTGGAGTCTGACCGTCGGACACTTGTCCTGTGCCCCATCTGTTTACGTAAACTACAGTCTGCCATTGGATTCAAAATAGCTGACAGATACAAGGTAAGCCAAAAACTATTTTGACTTATTTGTACTCTAGTGTTCTGCCCCACTGATGTAATCAATATAACATGGTATCAATCAATATACAGTAACATAGTATGTTACAGAATGTAAATATATATAATACCGGTATGTACTCTACAGGCCATACTGCAGTGGATTGAAAATGGCGCTGACAGCAATGGACAACATTCAAAACCCACACAAGCCTTTCAAGAGTATAAAGACTGGTTGTATACGTGCTTACAAATATTGGACAGTGAAACACCATGAACCAGCAAGTATGATCTTTTGCTACCTGCCGACAAGCAATGTCAAGACAAGTTGAGACATGCATGAGCTTTGGTGAGAAAGCTTCTGCTTGGAAAATACAGGTAAATGTATATGTAAAGCAGTGCTTTTGGTTTGTATGTATGGATCAAACAAAATAAAGTTTTATTTATCTCTTTCCTCTTTTTTTTGCTTTTAAGATATTGGTCAAATCAGAACACTATTTTCAGACAGCAGTCTAAAAAAAGTATGTATTTTATTTTTTATCTGATTTAAAGATTGTCTTTTGTGCAGAAAGAGAAGACAACATTGGACATTCACATTCCACTGAACATACAGCAGATAATTCCTTTCCAGTTATAAAATTCAAGTCATGTGACAGTTCAATAACAACAAATACAGTTTTACCTAAAGAGGTTGAAAGAGTGATGAAGCGGTCATATAAGACACTTTCACATTTGAATTTGGCTTTGCATTACATTGGACATCCTTCACCTTCATTTCACAGTTGCATCAACCTGAGCTCTGTAAAGCATTGAATTCACAATAATCTCTATTTAATAGATATATAAGTGTTATCCACAGTTGAAAACACTGTCATGAGCATTGAAAGACTAAACAACACCCTAAATTATGGAAGCTTGTTTCCGCCTCAGAATAAAAAATAAAAAAGCTAATTGTGACTTTTGTGAATTTACATCTCGCAATTCTGATGTTATAACACACAATTGGAGATATAAAGTTAGAATTGCATGATATTAAGTCAGAATAAAACATTTTAATTGTGAGAAAAAAAGTCAGAATTGTGAGATATAAACTCGCAATTCCGAGGAAAAAAGTCAGCCTTTCTCGGAATTAAAATGTTTTATTCTGTGGCGGAAACAAGCTTTCGTACTAAACAGACACATTTATAAAGTTGTTCATATGGGTTTAACATTTAGTTACAGGAACTGTTCCTGTAGTATACTAGTTTAAAGCTGACCTGAAATGAGCTAATTATGAAGTACTGAAAAGCAATCCATCACTCTCTTGCAAATATTCATAAAGGAATATTAGGGAAAAACTATATAGATAGTTCCTTTTTAAAATAAAGCATCAAATACCCCAATTCCATTTCTATAACATTTAGATTTTATTTAGGCTATATGAGTTTTAAGTTGCTGAATTCAACATTATCTTTGGTCATTGCTTTACCCATCAGTGCCTAGTAGTCACCCATAGAATCATTGCCTATAATCGCTAAAACCACAAAAATGTGGTTTCCTGTTACAGATTATGTTCGTTTCTTTTTTATCTAGGACTCTAAAACAAAAGTCCTAGTGTTTACTTTCAAGTCTAATAATAGTTTATCATGACAGCTACTGCTAATATAATGTACTACAATAATTACATGTATGATCTCAGGTATAAACAACAATTGCACATCTTAAAGGGACAGTTCACCTGGAAATTATAATTCTGTCATCATTCAGTCATCATCATTTCACATCTCATGTCGTTTAAACCCATAATACTTTTGTTCATCTTCGAATCTCAAATGAAGATAATTTTAATGAAACCCGAGAGATTTCTGTCTCTTCTTTGAAAGTCCGTTCCACCAAAACTTTGACACTAGTTCATAAAGGGATAGTAAATAAATTCATATGATTCGAACTGTTTAATCCAAGTTTTTTGAAGAAACATTTTATATGATGAACAGATTTGATTTAGGCTTTTATTCCCATACAAACATTGATCAATGCACATGCGTAGAGTAAATAAAATATTTGTTAAATAAAGTATCAACTTGCTAGACACCTAAGAACAAAACTTTGGTTCTTGTTTGTCAATGATGACCGAATTTTCATTTTTGGGTGAACTAACCCCTTAAGCAATTATTATGAATCATAATGTAGTTGTTCTGTCGATACATTCAGTTGTAAAAATGTTCCTATGTAATCAAGAGGTCTGATAGATCAGTTCAGTTAAATTCACAAAGGATGTCTTTTTTCAAGAATTAATATCTTGGTTATCCAATTCTAGGAATTCCTCCGGCCTGTCTTTGTCTTTGGACACTTGCTCCACTGTGGGTTTATTCCGTCCACAATCCCTCCTTGAACACAGATGAACTGTCTTAGCTGGACGTACGAACCCAAGGAAGATGGCACCTAGTCCCATTCCCGCAGCGCATGAGTAGAATGCAGCACTGTACCTTTGTGTAATATCCACAAGGACACCTAGAATATTTGGGGGCAAATGCAGTAAGTTGCTTGTTTAGGTTTGCATTTTATATACACTATTGTTGAAGAGTTTGGGGTCAGTAAGATTTTTTGGGGAGAAATTAATACTTTTATTCAGCAAGGATGCATTAAATTGGTCAAAAGTTGAAAGAAAACCCCACATTGATAATAAGAAATCCAGTTGTTCTTACCTCCTAATGGTGGACCAGCCAGTCCTGCAAAGCTCTGAATACAGACGTAGACGCCTACAGCTAAGGGCATCCTCTGGATCCCTACGACATCATCCTCGGCCAACATTGGGATGTGCGTGGATGCAATGTTCCCAAGTAAGAAGCCATAAAGCACACTGCACACTGTTAGTCCCCAGAAGCCATTTACCACGGTGAACAACACCAGGACTAGGCACATCAGTGACACGCATACGAGAAGTACAAATATCTTCCTGATGTGCCCCCAGTTCAGGACCCATCCGATAGAGAGACGTCCAAAGATCTCAGCGATGGCCATTGTTGACAGCATATAGGCAGCCTTGTCTCTATCTGTACCCAAACTGGCGCTGAGCTCTACCACATACAGCTGTGGGGCAAAAAAGCCCAGTGTTGCAAAGAGACCAAAGGCTGAATAACACAAAAAACTACCTTCTTTTAGCACAGTCAAATCCAAGAGCTTATTTTTACTCGTAAAGGCCTGTTGTTTTGGGAGGATCTGAAGTGGTTCAGCTTCTCCCAGTTCCTTCCCAGATTTGAGGTCCCGTTCCAGCTCATCAACTGACTGTACACCTGAATCTCCAGAGCTCACAGAACCTTGCATTTGTTCTTCAGGGAGAGAGTATGTGATCTTCTGCTCAGTTTCTGTTGGAGAAGTCTTTGGTTTGATGACTATGGGACGGAGCAGAGCCCCACAGACAATAACGATGCCCTGCAACGTTCCAATGACCACCATTGTGTACCTCCAGCCAATCCAGTTCTTAAGAGCTGTGAACGCTGCAGAAACAAGGAAACAATATGAGGGAGTCTTCGTGTTACAATAATAAAACTCTTGTTTTAACATAATATTTGATGGTATTATATTGCAGTTGAGGACGTCTGCCCTCACCTGGAGCAAAAGCAAATATAGCAAATGACTCTCCAGTGGAGGCCATGGCTGTGACCACAGAACGACGCCTGCTGAAGTACTGGGACAAGATTGTGACGGTTGGCAGAAATGTCAAACAGTAACCCAGTCCTACAGAGAGGAAAGGACACCTGAAAATCATTAGATGCTTTGTTTTGCTTATATCTTTTCAATCAAACATATATAGGGCTGGTCAGAATTATTTGCCCCCTTGGTAAATATGATCAAAGATGGCTGTAAAAAATAAATCTGCATTGTTATCCTTTTGATATTTAATAAAAAAAATTAGCAAAAATCTAACCTTTCACTGAAGTAAAAGAATTGAACAAGATGTCCTGGACCTCTGGCAGAAAAGTAGGCCCACAACATTAAAGATACAGCAGAGTATTTCATTTTACACATGGGGTACTTTTTTATCCCTGTGTGCACCAAACCCATCTTAAGTGTTTGCTGCCAAAAAAAGCTATTTTTTTGTTTCATCTGACCATAGAACCCGTCCCGTTTGAAGTTCCAGTAGTGTCAGTTACTTTTCAAACGTTCTATGGACAGATGAAACAACAAAAAAGGAGCTTTTTGGGAGCAAACACCTAATATGCGTTTGGTTCATACAGGGATAAAAAAGTTCTCCATGTGTAAAATTAAATACTTTAATCTTTAATGCTGTGGGCCTCATTTTCTGCTGGAGGTCCTGGACATCTTGTTCAGATACATGGCATCATGGATTCGAACAAATACCAACAGATAAAAAATCAAAACCTGACAGCCTGTGCTAGAAATCTTATAGTTGGCCATGTTTGGATCTTCCAACAGGACAGTGATCCAAAAACAAATATCAAAATCAAAACAAAAATGGGTCACTGAGCACAAAACCAAGCATCTGCAATGGCCATCCCAGTCCCTGACCTGAACCCTATAGAAAATGAGTGGGTTGAACTGAAGAGAAGAAGCGCCAACATGGATCTGTGAATCTGAAGGATCTGGAGAGATTCTGTATGGATGAGTGGTCTCTGATCTCTTGTCAGTTGTTCTCCAAACTCATCAGGCATTATAGGAGAAAACTCAGAGCTGTTATCTTGGAAAAAAGAGGTTGCAAAAAGTATAAAAGGGGGCAAATAATTGATCCCAATGTGTTTCGGAGAAAAACATTTATTTCATAATGTGATTTTCCCCCCGCTTTCAATTTTTTTACTTCAATAAAAGGTTAGATTTTTGCATAAAAAAAAAAAAAAAATCAAAAGGATAAACAATGCAGATTTTTGTTTTTTTACAGCCATCTATGATCATATTTACCAAGAGGGCAAATAATTCTGACCAGCACTGTACATTATTCGTTTTTATTGTAAAATGTCTTTATTTACAGACAATTATGAAGAAGTTTAGTTGTACATATATATTATATACTTGTATATTAAATATAAACATGGGGGTTGTGTTACAAGTAACGCGAGTTACCTAAAAAGATTACTTTTTTCAAGTAACTAGTAATTTAACACATTACTTTTAAATTTACAACAAAATATCTGAGTTACTTTTTCAAATATTGTGAATATATGTTTTTCCATTTATTTACAGACACCTCTCTGGTTATTGTAGTTCTAGACTAAATGTGAGCATGCATTTACGCATCTCACTTGCACAAAAACAGGTTCAGTATTCCTTAAAATGAAAAAAATAGTGAAATGCAAACTAGTGATAATTTGCAAGCCTGCAATAATTAAATATGTTAAATTATCACACAAATATACTTTATGTATTTAATCTCACTTTATTAATCAATATCTTTGCTGCTGACCTTCAATGATCCAATTCAACCATACTAATAAGGAAAAAGGACTTTAGATAAACATCACATTTCTGTTTAATTTTTGTATTTTTATTGTTGAATTACTTGGATAACACGGCATAACATTGGAAACTAATTCCATGTTTTCTTATAATATTACCAAGTGGCAGCATATATATTGAAAATAGCAGAGGACCCAACACAGATCCTTGTGGCACTCCATAATTTACTGACGTTATCTTCTGCTATCTTATCTTATGAAGATTTTTTCCTGTTTATCAAAATGGCAACGGTCTGATGGGAATGATCTAAACCACCTTAATGCCTGTCCCTTTAGATCATTCCTAGTTTCCACTGTTATGCCGTGTTATCCAAGTTAACAGAGTGTGTTAAACATTGGATGGCCAATCATTTTCTTTTATTACGTTCAGATAAGACTAAGGTATTACTTATTGGACCAAAAACCTCTACACATGTCTTAGAATACAATTTGCATTTAGAAGTGTGTACTGTTACTTCATTCTCTGCAGTAAAATACCTGGGTGTTATATTAGACAGCAACTTGTCTTTCGAAAATCATATTTAATATATTACAAAAACAGCCGTAGAAACCTCAGAAACATTGCTAAACTATGGAACATGCTATCTGTTTCTGATGCAGAAAGTCTTCAGTGTCACATGTTCCTTCAGAAATAATTCTAATATGAATATTAATATCTAACATTCTAATAATCATTCTAATATGTTGATTAGGTGCTCATAACATTTTCCTTATTATCAATGTTGAAAAAGTGCTGCTTAATATTTTTGTGGAAACTGATCAATTTTTCCCATGGTTCTTTAATGAATAGAAAGTTCAAGAGAACAGCATTTATTTGAAATATACACTCACCGGCCACTTTATTAGGTACACCTGTCCAACTGCTCGTTAACACTTAATTTCTAAGCAGCCAATCACATGGCGGCAACTCAGTGCATTTAGGCATGTAGACATGGTCAAGACAATCTCCTGCAGTTCAAACCGAGCATCAGTATGGGGAAGAAAGGTGATTTGAGTGACTTTGAACGTGGCATGATTGTTGGTGCCAGAAGGGCTGGTCTGAGTATTTCAGAAACTGCTAATCTACTGGGATTTTCACGCACAACCATCTCTAGGGTTTACAGAGAATGGTCCGAAAAAGAAAAAACATCCAGTGAGCGGCAGTTCTGTGGGCGGAAATGCCTTGTTGATGCCAGAGGTCAGAGGAGAATGGCCAGACTGGTTCGAGCTGATAGAAGGGCAACAGTGACTGAAATAACCACTCGTTACAACCGAGGTATGCAGCAAAGCATTTGTGAAGCCACAACACGCACAACCTTGAGGCGGATGGGCTACAACAGCAGAAGACTCCACCGGGTACCACTCATCTCCACTACAAATAGGAAAAAGAGGCTACAATTTGCAAGAGCTCACCAAAATTGAACAGTTGAAGACTGGAAAAATGTTGCCTGGTCTGATGAGTCTCGATTTCTGTTGAGACATTCAGATGTTAGAGTCAGAATTTGGCGTAAACAGAATGAGAACATGGAACCATCATGCCTTGTTACCACTGTGCAGGCTGGTGGTGGTGGTGTAATGGTGTGGGGGATGTTTTCTTGGCACACTTTAGGCCCCTTAGTGCCAATTGGGCATCGTTTAAATGCCACGGCCTACCTGAGCATTGTTTCTGACCATGTCCATCCCTTTATGGCCACCATGTACCCATCCTCTGATGGCTACTTCCACCATGTCACAAAGCTCTAATCATTTCAAATTGGTTTCTTGAACATGACAATGAGTTCACTGTACTAAAATGGCCTCCACAGTCACCAGATCTCAACCCAATAGAGCATCTTTGGGATGTGGTGGAACGGGAGATTCGCATCATGGATGTGCAGCCGACAAATCTGCGGCAACTGTGTGATGCCATCATGTCAATATGGACCAAACTCCCTGAGGAATGCTTCCAGCACCTTGTTGAATCTATGCCACGAAGAATTGAGGCAGTTCTGAAGGCAAAAGGGGGTCCAACCCGTTACTAGCATGGGGTACCTAATAAAGTGGCCGGTGAGTGTAAATCGTTTGCAACCTTATAAAATATACAGTACGTTTTACTCGTACTTTTGGTCAATATAATGCATCCTTGGTAAATAAAATTAGGCCTTTTCATTTATTTTTTTAAAAATCATGCTGACCCCAAACTTTTGAACGATAGTGTATGTATAGTGCAAGGCTCTACCTACCAGTCACAATCCCAATACTGAGGTACATCTGATTGATGGAGCTGGTGAATGCAGTTGAGATTGTGCCCAGAGATATGAGAAATCCACCAAACATCACAACTGGCTGGAAGCCGAATCGATTACTCAGCACTGATGATAAAGGAGCTGAAGGGGCATAGACATGGATGCCAAAGTCACAGAAATGAACACATACGGTATAAAGAGTCAACATGCCGCTAAGCAGAGTTCTAAAATTTAAAGCAAAGGTGACAGTTTTTACCCGTGAAAGTCATAACAAAGACACATATTGAAATGATCCATGATACTCGACTGTTGCTCTCCCCAAATTCACTCATTAGGTCCTTGAGGAAAATCCCAAAACTTTTGATAACCCCATAAGTGAACATCTCCACCAGGAAAAAGGCCACAGCCACAATCCAACCCCAACCACCATCTGGGACCTCTGAGTACACTTTAGAGCCAAGGCAACCTTTCAGTCGGAAAATCCACTGTGCCATTTTGACCTATGACCTGTGAATGTGACAAAGACAATCAACTTTTACAGCCACTCACATCCATCAGTAAAATGTATTTAAACACGTCTATCATCATTCATAAAGAGACATATCCACAACGCAACCAAGCAATATGTGGAAAAACTTAACTTAAATGTACATGTTTGATAATTCTCTGAACAATTTTTATATTTTATTTAAATTTCAAACAACTGCTATATCAGCTTTAAAATGTTAAAATATATCAGCTTTAAAACTAGTTTTAAGAGGTTTAAGGGCAGAGGTTTATGTTCGGTTGAGCATTTGATGATGTATGCTAGAGACCAGTGTTGTTAATGTTTAATTAAAGCTGAAATAAAATTAAATATAATTATGTTACAATTAAACTTAGTCACAATGAAATAAAAAAAATGTGCCCTTGTAATCTTTAATCAAAATAATATTCCCCTCCCTGTCGCAACAACATCTCTTCTCTTTCTCTGATGAAGTGCATTGGCGTGAGGGCGGAGCAACACTCGCATGAGATCACAGCAATAGCAAACCACAACGGCCCAATCAATTCCTGATGGACAAAATCAAGTCCCACCCTAAATTTTTTCTTGTTCAAGAAGCAGTTTCACTCAGATATCAAGTTTAAGTTAAATTTATTTAAAACTTAAATAAAAATAAATAAATTAAAAATGAATTAAAAGACAAAAGCACATAACCAAATTAATAAAAATAAAAATCTAATAAAAATAAAAACTGAAAATGTAAAAGTTCAAATACTAAAAAATTCTATAGTAAATAATAAGCTACTATATGCTATGCTAAATACATACCTGTTCCTTGTAACCATGTTGCCTCTACATTGTATTTCTTTTTAAATTTGATACATTTGGTCTATTTAAATGTTTATTAAATGTTATTGGTAGAAAATGGCACAATCGCACAAATCAGTTTGACACTGTAGATCCACATTTAGGTAACAGGGTTTAAAAATGCATCACATACAATTTTTTTTTTTTTTAAATCGTGTGAAAGGGTTTTAATAGACCGTATCATTCTAGCGTTTAGTGCTGAGAAGGACTCAAGTCTACAAGCCTCCGAACTAAGGACTGGACTAGGAGGACACACTAAGAACTGCGGTAGGACACCGAACTAACGACTAAAAACACACTCCCTCCTCACTAGTCACTAGGATGCTGCAGCCTTCCGTTTGAGCGGCACCCAGTGGGAGCGCTGGTACTGGTAGGCGCGTAGCGTTTCCAGAGGGATGTAACGTCACGATAGGGGCGGCGGGACTCGAGTGTCAACAAACTGATGCGCTTTAGGCAACAGAACAACGTTGGAAAAACTTTCAATGAAGTCATCGCTCAGCATTAGGTAAGGTGAGCCTTAATGATTCTTATATGAAGTCATAATATAACTTTCTATGCAGTTCAAAGCTGAAGTTTGTTGCATTTCTTCTAGTCTTTCCAATGTTATTACAGCTAACGTTAATAATACTGTAGGACAGAAGCATTCCCATTCCCATATTCAGACCGCGAAACTTCCTCAATAACGTTACCGCTGTAACTCCTGTGTGGCATGATATTGTCCCAAATAAACATTTATTAAACATAATATTAAACATATATTAAGTGTAATTAATTTAAAAATTATTATTTCATGTTTGAGCACGCGTGTTTGTTTTTCCTAAATCACGTTGCACGTTATCAACAGTAAGGTGAGTTAGCATATTTCCCCCCCCCCAACCAGCTTCCACCAGCTTGTCCATTAGATTCTCCTGCATATGTTTTCTCAGCTCCTTGCCACGTGGTCGTTTCTATGATAAAGAACACATACGCGTGTCCTAGTGTCTTCCTGCGTATATTTCTGTGTGGGGCACTTAACTGACCAATGTCAATAGAAGTTTAGTTGAAGGATTCACTTAACCATTGATATAACATTTAACAACCAAAACAAGAAAGAGTACTCACCTGTTCCTATGAGAGAGGGGAATGTGGCTGATCTTCTGCTGTGCTGTGGTGTGTCCACTGCCAAGAGTGAGTCCATGTGGTGCTTGCACTGTCTAAAACACTGAGCTCCTCTATGGTGGGAGGTTACAGCTGTTGAGTAAGTTGAGGATTGGTTTACAATCAATGTTGAATGAAACGCCACACCAGCAACCCCCCTTTCCCTTGAGCTAGAATGTCAAAGGAACATGCTGTGTGCCTCTGTCTCTTCTTCCCCACTATAATGTAAAGTGGGAACTGCATGAGTGACTGTATTGAACGATTTAAAAGGACTTTTGTAAAGGTAAAGTTTGTTACATAAGCCAATAAGATCTGCTCAAACCAGACAGTGAAAAGACTCTCTTCAGAGAAATCCAGAGGGCTTTATGCTGTGAAAAAGTGGCAACCTCTAATTGCTACATTAAAGAGCTATTTCTGCCTAATTTACCTCTAAAAACTAATTTTGTTGGTATAACTTCATTTAAGTTGATTCAGTGATGTTAAACAATATATAATATTTTTGACTTGAATAAAACTAGGTAATTTAGAGATGTTACTTTTTATGTAATGTTAGTTTGACTACTATATCATTAATAAAATCTAATGGATGTACATGTAATTCAAGGGTCTCTGCCAGGTAGAGAAACACTTAGGCTAGTGGATAGAAAAATAGAGCATGGTACATTACACATTCTGTCAGACATCTAAAATATCAATCATATAGTACCTTAATGGCAAAGCCATTCAAATAACTATTAATGATGTATCATATATCTCTACATTACATATTAATTTAATTTAACATGAACCTGAACTTAATTTATAAATTGAACTTTGATTGAAGGTAACATAGTATTGTATTTTTGTTTAATGCATATTTAAAAATTTTCACAATATATTTTTTTTATTTTTTTTATTTTGAGATCAAATTCAGGTTCAGTATGAAATGGCCCTTCAGACCATTGTTATTTTAGAATCATTGATATCATTGAATCATTGATACTTAAGTTTTTATTTTTATAATTTTAATTTTAGTTCTTTTTATTCATTTTGTCATCATTTTCTAAAAATATATAGTTTTTATAATTTTTGTATTTCAGTTGTAGTTTTAGCTATTTTAGTACATCAAATTAAACTAAATGAAAATAAGAAATTGTGCTTTGGCAACAAGCTGAAATAAAATAAAAAATTTTTTAACCTGTTAAGCTTCAAGCCCATTTTTGAAAAATCCCCAGATATGGCATTCCCAAACTGAAACAGATACAGTTCATGAACCCTTTGTACTAAAAGCACAAGTAAGATCTCATTTGAAAGCTGACACCTGGAAGTTTATTGTAAATGTAGAATTAATTATTATCATAATGAAAAAAAATTGTTATAAATAGCTTCAAAGTTTTGTAAAGTTATTATACATTTATTTTTATGAAACATCTTCATGAAAATAAAATTGAAGTTGGCATTGTAGCAATCTAGAAATGCACTGCAGCTAAAGCCACATGTCTAACCATGTTATATTTAAAATCTGAAGATGATAAGTCTAAAACTCTGTATTTAGTTCAATGTTTTTCAAGATCATGTCATATGACTTTATTTTGATTAGACTGGTGTTTATTGTTTTCTTATAAGCATCTATTCAGTCTATTGCCTCTATTGTTTTGTGATGCAAAAACGAGCCCCATTCAGTCTCAGTCTCCCCTGCACATATTCACACCTCTCCAGCCAGTTTATTGCTCTAAATATGCTTTTCTTTTGTCTGCATTATAATCACTAACGACTAGCAATTCACACTGTTTCAATCCCTCATTTATTTTATAAAAGTTCTCACTTCACAGTGAAACTGTATCAAATGCCCTTTTTGAAAAACGAAACATTTCAGTAAGCATTCTTATTTAGAAAAAAATCATAAAAATTACACCGAAGTAAGGTAGCAGGTGCTCAGTACTAGCTAGCATGTTAGCTTAGCACACCATCAATACACGACAATTTATGAGAATAAAACTATGTTTGTTCTCCAAACTTACTTTATAGCGCAAGTCGAGTGTTTTAAATAACTTTCTGTAATCTGATTTGGCTTCAGATAAAAAAATCAGATAGAAAATATATTATTTTATTGTATTCTGCACAATTTGAAAGTCTATCTCGATTAGCATTACATTATACATATAATCAATTATTATGAAAATACCTGACATGACTCGAAGAACACAGGTAAATCAAATATCATTGCAATCATGTTTATTGTCTTCAAAACATCTTTATCTGCACTTTACAGCGATCTCGGATAGCTTTGTTGTGGCAGGACTTCCTGAATGTCACATGATTATGGCTCTTCTTCATGTGATCCATATATGGACTTCTGTGCAAACAGCGCCCTCACTTTCAGGATGAATTGATAACACAGTACAGAGTATACAGCGCTCAAAATGATTACATCGACGCATTTGGGTATAAATTCAATAAATATTATTCCTGTCTATAGAAGTCTGATGTAAAGCTATGAGAATCTATCAATATTTCTCCAAATCTGCACATGTTTGAGCTAAAAGCCCTGAGGGACGTTGTTTTGTCAAGCGCTGTCATGACGATCGCACGGGAGTTTTTTTCTGAATGAGACCGGCTGACGCTCATAATTCATATTAAAGGTAACGACTCATTTTTTAATTTCATAACTCCTGACACAAATTAAGACATAACTGTCACTATAAGTTTCTCAGAATACAATAGTGGTCAAATACTGAATCTTGAGTCTTATATCTTTTTAATGATGTATAGTTTGTCAAGGTATAACATTAAATCTGATAGTATATTTGAACTAAATAAAAAAAAAAACGCTTCAGTGCGCCGACGCTCTGGAGACGGTTAAGAGGTTTTAAAGTATTTTATTTCAGTTAATGTTTATTTTATTTCAACTAATGATTTTTTTACGTATATACTGTATATAGTTTTTTTTTTTTCACTATTATAACCCTGCCACAGAACCCCTCTCGGATTGGCCTGATTCATTAATCACATTGTGTTTTATACTATTTTTTTCATTAGAATTTGAAGTAGCAATCAGAGTATTAGTTTTTCTCTGCCAAATACTGTATATCATAATTTAAATAACTGTTTTATTTTTATTTTATTTTACATTTAGCATTTAAAATGGCACAGTTTGGATTATGTGCACTGCTCCTGTTCTCTGGACTGGTTCATCATATCAAAAGCCATATTAGAAAGGAGGACAAAACTGGTGAGAAGGAACAACCCAATTTCATCATTATCTTAGCCGATGATATTGGGTGGGGTGACCTCTGGGTGAACAGGCCTGATATCTTCACACCAACACCCTGGCTGGACTCATTAATGCTGAAGGGCAAAAGGTTGTGTTGTTATTATAATTTGGTTATGCATGCCTCAGTTTTGTGCCTGTCTAATTGTCTAATTATGGGTGCTTGTGATTTGCAGATTCACAGACTTCCACTCTCCTGCCTCCACGTGCTCACCGTCACGCGCTGCCCTCCTGACCGGCAGACACGGGCTGCGCAATGGGGTCACTCATAATTTTGCAGTGCGGTCAGTCGCGGGAATGCCACTCAATGAGACAACATTTGCTCAGCTCCTGCATGAGGCAGGTTATTATACAGCAATGATCGGTAAGTACAGAAACTCTGAGAACATGCTGAGAATAACATTATTAACGTCCTGAGAGCAATGAACTCTACGCTGTGCTGTGATTAGTTCCTGATTAACAAATATGCATTGTAGCCATGGCAACTAATAAGCCTCCCGAGCTGAACTCATATGTCGTAATATTTCTTTTCCATTTATTTATGGTGCTTATATTGATTTTAAAACAGGAAAATGGCACCTTGGACACAATGGTTCCTACAATCCTGTTCATAGAGGTACAATTTTGTTTCTTTTTCATTCCATTTTAATCTGTTTTAATTATGCATGATATTTTTAAAGATGAATTACTGTTAAATAAAAATGTATTAATAAACAATATTTATATATATATATATTAATAAACAATATATATATATATATATATATATATATATATATATATATATATAAATAAACAATATATATATATATATATATAAATTTATACAGTGCCTTGTGAAAGTATTCGTAGCCCTTCATTTTTTCATGCCTTATGTTAAACTACTTTAAATTACTTTTTGTTCACATCAATCTACACTCCATACACCATTATGACAAAGCAAAAAACTTTGCAAATTTATTAAAAATAAAAAACTGAAATTATTACATTGCATAGCATTCTGGGCCCAGTGTTGGGTGTAATGCATTACTAAGTAATTAATTACTGTTATTTAATTACTTTTCCCTTGAAAAAGTAAAGCAAGGGATTACTCTTAATTTTTCAGTTACTTATAATTATAGTAAATACTGTATAGACAATAGAACAATTCTATATAAAACAATAGTAGATTTAACATCAAAATTTAACATCTAATGTTAAAATGTATGTTTATAATGTAACCTCCCTTTAAATACTTTTGTCAGTTCAATAATAATTTATGCAATTTTATATTATTTATTTGAAAGAATTAAAAGAGCAGTTTCATGTCATGTATTGTTCAACTGGTCGAGGTTGATATGGAATTTAGAAAGTAATTAGTAATGCAATACTTTTTAGAGAGAGTAATTAGTACAGTCATCTAATTATACTGTTGAAGATATAATTAGTAGCTAATTAATTACTTCTTTAGAGTAACTTGAAATTTAGCTCAGGAGCATTCCAATTTCGCTTGTAGAGGTTTTCTACACTTCGAGTGGAGTTACAGTAACCTGTGACAAATTCAATTGAATGGGTATGATTTGGAAAGGCAAACACCTCTCAATAAAAGGTCTAACAGCTGAAAATGCATATTAGAGCAAAATCCAATTCATGAGGTGGTCAAAGGAACTGCCGGTAGAGCTCAGAGACAGGATTGTGTCAAGACACAGATCTGGAGAAGACTACAAAAAAAAAAATCAGCTGTATTGAAGGTTCACAGAAGCATGTAGCCTCCATAATCCTTAATGGAAGAAGTTTGGAAGCTTGAGAGAATCTGAGGAGAAGAATAGCAGAAAATCACCAAATGCAGATGTGCAAAGCTTGTCGCATCATACCCAAAAAGACTTTAAAGGCTAAAAGGCTGGAAAGGTGCTTCAACTAAGTACTGAGTTAAAGATACAAATACTTATGCAATGTATGTATTTCAGTTTTCCCTTTTTAATAAATTTACAAAGTTGTCACAAATCAGTTTTTTGCTTTGTCATAATGGTGTATGGAGTGTAGATTGATGTGAAAAAAAGTTAGTAGGTTAACATAAGGCAGCAACATAACACAATGTGAAAAAAATGAAAGGCACTGTATGCATGTATGTGTGTGTGTGTGTGTGTGTGTGTATATATATATAACATTTCTTGACATGAAACTTGGATATTTCTTGACATGGAATTTGATATATAATTTTTTTTTATCATTTATTCATTTATTTTGAGTTATTTCATGAGGATATGCTTACTTTTGTGTGTTCACACTACAGGTTTTGACTATTACTTCGGTATTCCTTATAGTAATGACATGGGCTGCACTGATGAACCAGGCCTCGACCTTCCCAGCTGCCCTCCATGCATCATTAATCAATATACTACCAGGTGTGTGTTACTTTCCAGGTCATCATTAAGTCAAAAAACACACATCAGATGGCATATAGCCTGTGGTTTTGTATAGGCCTATGTCTCGTGCTTTACTAAAATATGTCAAATGTTCACTCGCCAGGAAGCATGAAGGATGCTACACTCAAGTGGCACTACCTCTGTTTGAAAATGAGACAATAATTGAACAACCTTTGGAGACATGGAGCCTTAAAGACAGATATGCCAGAGTGGCAGTCGAGCAGATATTTACAGCCAGGTATGTTCACTGCTTCTGACTCCAATTGTATACAGAAAGTCATATGTTTCTGATTTGGATACCAACCTGAGCTCATTTCCACAGTGGTTTGACTTCCTGGCAAATTGCGCTTTTGAGCATTACTTATAATGAGTATTACTTTCTATTATGTACTATTAATATTATTATTGGTATTGAAGGTTATTAAACCTCTTGAACTTCTTGGTAAAACATGTTAATTAAAAAGGTCTTGTACAGGTTTTACGCTCAGCACTTATGGTGAAACAAACAAAAAAAACATTCTTGATTAAAAATGGATTATAAAAACAGTTTTGCTACTCACAGGGGCAACTGTTTCTGGACTTTGATCAGTCAATATAAGGTCTGGTCTGTAAACAAGTTTGCTAGGCAGGGGAAGTTGCATTGTTGACCTTTGACACAGTCCAAGGATAGATTATCATCTGTTGGGGTGTGCGCAGCCAAGTCTCATTTATTTATCATTTCAGCTGTGCACTTGCACAGAGAATCTAGACCTGTAACTGTTTTAAAGTCAATATCACTTCACTTAAATATGTTTGAATCAATAAATTATATTGACATTAAAATGGCCAATAACAATCTGTCATGAAACTCTAGATGGTGCATGCTGATAGGTGCTTAATGCAACTCGCTGACAATCATATCATTAACTACACGGCACAAGCTGATTGGTTCCTGTTGCATCTGTAGCCAATGATCTTGCTACTCAACATTTAACAGTGGTATTAAATTATTAATTTTTTTATATAAATTTAAGTGAGCAATGGATGAGAGATGTAATCTCTCATAAAAATGTAAAGTAATATAAAGTAGAAACTGATACAATAAACTACAGTTCACATGTTTGGGGTCAGTAAGATGTTTTTAAAGGGATTAATAATTTTATTTAACAAGGACGCATTCAATTGACAAAACGTGAGAGTAAAGTAATTTAAAATATTACAAAATTGTGAGCTTTCTATTCATCAAAGAATTCTGAAAAAAATACATTATGATTTTCACAAAAATATTATAATGATTTTTAAAGGATTATGTAATGTGACTGGCTGAAGTAATTTTACAAATAATTCAGCGTTGCCATCATAGGACTAAATTACATTTTAGAATATATTAATAAATAGAAAACATCTATTTTAAACTGTAATATTATTTCACAATATGATTATTTTTACTGTATTTCTGATCAAATAAATGCAACTCTAATATCAGCTGATAAGCATAAGGGTATCACTAAATTGTGACTGTAACAAAATTTGTCTTATGTTACTGTACAATTTGGATAATATTATTTGTTTTGTGTTAATGTGTCTGTGTAGCATTTCTAAGCAGCAGCCGTTCCTGCTGTATGTGGCTCTTGCTCACATGCATGTCCCACTGTTCCATAACACCTTCCTAAACGTTACGACGCAAGATCCTTACACAGCCAGCCTCAGTGACATGGACTCATTGGTGGGGACAATCATGCAGGCGGTCAGCACTGAGCAGCTGGAAAACACATTGATATGGTTCACTGGTGAGTTATTTTGCACATATTTCACTCAATGTGTTCAGTGGGATTAGTCGCTTTCCTAAAGGCTCTGTTTGCAAATTTATGAAATGCATCCATTTCTAAGGTGACAATGGCCCGTGGGAGCAGAAATGCCAGTTTGCTGGGCATGTTGGGCCTTTTGTTGGAAGATGGCAGACGAGCAGAGGTAACGTAGGAGCTGCCATATAAAAAAAAGTCTCTCTCAATTTATTTATTAAAAACAAATGGCTTTTTATGGTTTTGTAAGGTGTCATACCTTTAACCTATCATAAATAGAAGATAAAAATGAACGAACATAAGAGTTTTCTGTGAGTGCAGATTTCATCCTTCTCTTTAGTTGTTTTAGATAACAAACACACTAATTAAATGATCATGTTACAGTCTGTTTTCATTCTTTTGAGCAGGTGGTGGCTCAGCCAAGAGAACCACATGGGAAGGAGGTCATAGAGTTCCCACAGTGGTCACATGGCCAAAAAAGATCAAACCCAACAGCACCAGCAGTGCCCTGCTGAGGTACTGGAGAATTATGAACGTTGTGTAACATGATTGTGTTTGTTTTCACCATATGATGACTAGATTTGAATCCTTAGTGGTCTGGATATCTTCCCAACCATCCTCTCCCTGGCCGGTGTGAAACCACCATCGGATCGACGCTATGACGGCATTGATATAACATACATTCTGCTCAACGACTCTGACGAAGGGCATAGGGTACAGTCTGTTTGGATGACACACTGCTTTACAGACCAAAACAAAACAAAACTTGCTCTCACTGGCTTTTTTTAAAATAAACTCTTGTTCCCATTATCAGAGTCTCATGCATCCAAACAGCGGCGCTGCAGGACAGTTCGGGGACCTTCAAACCGTCAGGCTGAAACATCACAAGGCTTTTTACATCACAGGTCTCTATTTATTAAGAAAAAAAGAAAGAATCAATTTATTAATTCATAAAAATAAAAAAAAAGTTTGTTTTGACATACTTAAAACTAATTAATTTATTCTTAAAAATGTAGTTAAATATGAAGTATTTCTCACTCATTATCTCAATCTCAAGTAAAATAAACTAAATTGATTAATAAAAAGACATTTTTAAAGTATTTCATTTGTATAAAAATGCTGTTTTTTGATTTATTAATTTATTGCTTAATGTTACATTTTTAAATTAATAAATAGATATTATAAACTTTTTATTTAATGTTTAAAAATAATTTAAAAATACTTTTTTAATTGATAAGTAGACCGTTTCAAACTCTAAATCATTTGAAAAATGCAATTAAATGTAACATTAAAATAACAAAGTAATAAGTTACATTTTAAAATTGATAAATATAAACAGACATATTTTAAAGTATTTCATTCATGTTTAAAAATGTAGTTAAATGTTACTGTTAAATAATAAATTAGCAAATATCATTTCTTTAAAATAACAATTTTAAATGATTTCATGTTTAAAAATGTAATTAAACGTAAACAATAAATAACAGTTCAATAGTAAATCATTTTTTAAATTGATAAACAAGTACACAATTAAAACTTTAATGTCTAAAACATTATTTAAATGTAACTAAAAAATCATATATTAATAACTTATTTTGGCTGCTCCCATGTATAAACAATGGCATTTTTTTTCTTTGTTCCGTTAATATACTAGTATTGGTTGGTATAGTGGTTCTATTGTCTCCCTCAGGTGGATCAGTGGCGTGTGGCGGAGGAAGTGGACAACAGCAGTATCACGACCCCCCTCTGATATTTGACCTCTCTCAGGACGAGGCAGAAGAGACCCCTCTGAACCCCGAGAGTGAAGAGTACAGATCTGTCCTGAAGGAAGTGGAGAGAGAGAGGGAGGCTCTGCTATGGGACATCGCCACAGACAGGGTATCTTCGGCTGACTACACCATGATTCCGTCTGCAGTCCCCTGCTGTCAGCCAAACCACCCTGCCTGCCGATGTCACAGCCTGAAATGAGGTCAGTTGACAGCCTTGAACTCAGCACTGTTTGTCAGTGTGTTTGATCCTATCAACATATTGAAAGCACTGTCATTTTATACACTGAGAAGAGCATAGTTCAAATATTGAGTGCAATTTCCCAGAAAACTACACTACTTTACTAAGAATATGCTGATGTGTAAAGTTGAGTCTGGGGAACAGGAAACTATAGATGTGCAAGATGTTTTAATACTTTTGTATCCTGCCGTTTCATGATGAGCTAGACCAAGAATTTTCAAATCAGGGTCTGAAGTCCCCCAGGGGCCTGTAAGGGGGCACTTGGGGGTCCTTTTTAACACAGATACCGGTACTGATTTTTAAATTACTGTTTGATTGTACTTTCTAAAAACTGGTCAGAAATCAAGCTTTTTTTCAGCAGTAAGAAATTGTCTTTTATAAATTAAATTTTTTTTAATTTTTTTTTATGCATCTTACATTCATTCATTTGATCATATTATTTTTATATAAATGACTTTAAAATATATATATAACATAGTAGCAACATTTACAGTAATAGTGTCATAAATTGCGTAACAGCTGGCTTTCCCTTTCCCTAGTTTGATATCATGTCTCCATCTTGTGGTAATACTGTTGCCATAACTGTGATTGCATAACTTACATTAATATTTAAGAAAGTAATATGGTATTATGTTTTGTTGATTACTTTGAAAATATATTAACTCGGTCACTTGGTTGATAGCACCACCACAAACAAATCCATTAATTACATTCCCAGGATTACTGACAAAAAACAAACAAAAAATGTATTTGAAATAAAACATTGACCCACTGTATCCAATTCATGCTTTCACATAATTTCACATAAAAGTAATAATCTTGTATTTTTTAAGGCACCTTTTAAGGCTGGAATACACTTCATGACTTTTAAAATCTGAACAGATTTTAAAACACTAGTCATCTTTCACTTGCCAGCTGTGTAAATAGTTACAGAGGAAAAACTAAACGAGTGAGGATCTCACACTACCTGAATTTCAAGTCATTACAAACTAACGCTGAAACATGTGCCTTGTTGTTGCTATATGAGACGCATGACAAATGAAAACAATGTGTTCTAAAATCGGCTCAAAAGATCTAACATGTTTGATATCCTCCAAATGGACGGAATCAAAGTCATGTAGGCTAGTTTATTCCAGGCTTTAGTCGAAAATGCTTTGGCTGCTTCCATGCGTGTCTGTCCACGCATACTTGGTAAGTAAATAATAAATATAATGGTATCGATTGGTATAGTGAATTGTTGTTCCGATGTGTTTTCTCATGGATCAGAGGGAATTTAGTTTCATTTTAGCCACTTTGTCTTTATTGGTTTGCTGTTAGTAAACACACAGGTGAATCCAAACGTACATACAGTGATGAGCACCTGTAGAATGTAGTCGAGCCTGACAGGTGTGGTGGCTCTTCAAATGAATGTAAAACCATATTCCGTGTGGCGTGAAGCCAAGAATGTTCTTACACTCTTCACTGAGAATAAAAATGCAAAACTTCAAACTGTTAAAAACTGTAACTTAAAAATCCTTTAAAAACATAAAAATTATAATTTAGCTTTAATTTTTTGTAATAATGCTATTGTGCATTCCTAATCGTCTTACTGTGCTGATTTGCAAAACAAACAACACCTGTGTGTGATAAAAGATCACCTTTTTTTAAGGAAATAAAGAAGTTCTCTTTCCTGTTAATCAACAATAAATCCCTTTTGAGTACGTTTCTGTTCACTGTAACATCACAGCAGAATATAGACAAACAGTCAATGAGCAGCGTACTTACAACCTTGTGCAACATTAAATTAGGAAGAGGAAAATAAAGTACATTACCATTGCAAACAATGTGCACTGTAATTTCTAATGTACCTGGGTTTTTTCTTAGCGCATAAAGTTTCTGTATGGAAATTAGTGTTCTGACCATAAATTAAGCAACTAGGAAATTAAATCCCAAAGACAACACACTCTCAACAAATACACTAATTCTGAACAGATACTAGTAAATTCTGTCATCATATACTCACCCTGATGGGAGTTCCAAACCTGTATGATTTTCTCTATTCAAAGGGAACACAAAAGATGACATTTTGAAGGTTTTTGTCTATACAATAAATGTCAATGGGGTCCAAAAAAACATGGGACAGAAAAACAGACATTTTTCCAAATATCTTCTTGTGTTTCACATGGGAATAACACATGGGTGAGAAAATGATGACAGAATTTGATGCAGAGCAAACAAGCAACATGTTTTTACCGTTGGAAAAAAGGGAAGTGCTTTAGAAAGTGATAAGTCAGTCAAAATTGGGTTTTGAAAATGCTACAATAGATCAGCATGTCATGTGGTAATTCTTGATTGACGGTAAAGTTGCTACAATCGTACAAACACAAAACTATTTTGATTTAGAATGGAGAAAATTAGAATCAAGGTGCCATAGCGATTTATATGCTGCTCTGTGTACAGTTCCCTTTCTCACTCACTACAATGGATTCATAATTAATCGTGGCAAGTGCAATTTGCTCACGATCCTGAATGGCACATTAGTAAGTGCATTATCTCTGTTTGTTCACATTGTTTGTTGGGAAAAACACAGCCTGTCTAATCATTCAGTGTATCTTCTGTAAACAGTCTGTAACTGAAAAAAACAAGAGTGGACCAATGCAAAAAAACGTGACGTGTTCCTCCCTTTACAGCTACATTCACTCACTCATTCTGAGATCACAGTAGAAGAACGTCTTGGATGTTGACTGAGAAAGAGCTGGTGGGAGGACTCTTTGAACACAATGGGTCCAGTCTATGACCGTACCAATTCCAATGGGAATTAGTTAGTATCTGGTTGGTGGGTAATGCTGATTATATGACTGTCTGTCTCCTGACATTGCATTGAATCAATCTTTATGGCTTGTAAAACAAGCTTGTTGACATCAGCAGTATTTGCATCAAGGTTGCTGACAGTCTCTGTCACGGGGTCGGTTTGTGTACTCACTGCTTCCTCAATTCCCTCAAGTATCAAAATGCCACTCCCGGGCTGATGACATTTTGCATTGAGCTTGTTCACCTCACCTATATGCTCCACATTTGCATTCATGGCCTCTTCCTGGATCGCAGCATCTTCGCTGTAGTCTTCATCACTGACTCCATTCTCTTGGACCATATGGTTCGCTGTTAATTCTGCTTTATCATGATCTTTAGTATTTGGCATGTTCTCCTCAAAAGCATCATGGTGTGCAACATCTACAGTTGTAGCTGCGCTTTCAAGTACATTCTCTCTGTGATGCTTAGCATTGTCTTCCTTGACAGCACTGAGATCCAGAGTTACTTCGTTATTATGGATCCTTACTCTTGGATCTTCTTCATAAAGGTCCTCTTTAGGGGTTTGTCTCACAGTGCTGTCCTGTTCAAGTCCAGCGTCTTGACCTCCCTTCTTCGCTTCATTGATATCACCTAGAGTCCTTTCCTCAATGACTCCATCTACTGAGGTTATGTCAACAACATCTTCGCCAACAGACGTTTCTTGATCAAGATCTTCTTCATTGCTTGTATCTCCTTGCAGAGGCTCATTTTCAAGGTGTCCATCTGTCTGTGGAGCAGGATATTCACAATCATACCTTTGTAGATCTTTGGTGACCTTATTTGATCCAATGTTTCCACCCTCTTCCTCAGTCTCTACAGAACCAACAAGATTCGGGTGGATTTCAACTACTAGTTTAATGCAATTCTCTCCCTCTTGAGGCAGCTGTTCATGGTCAATAATCTGCTTCAGGTCATGTGCAGTCTGATCTGCGTCACTCAGTCCGCACTCGGAGTCTGAAACGTCTGCAAGTTCATTTGGAGGTCCATTGAATGTGGCTCCTGGACTTTGTAATGAAGGGAGGTGAGGAGCAGGACTGCGAAGAGAAGTATATCATTAGGAGATAAGTGGTCTTAATGTTACAACATCATGTGCTTTGTCATTGCGACCAGTTTTTACCTCTCTACAGATTCGTATGGAACAGGGGTGGGCCATAATTCTTGGGCCCCGGCCCCTTCCTCCTGGACCCAGCCGAGGTTGGAGGAAGCATAATTCAGAATGGCCTCTGTCACAGTGTAAGGGGTGTGACCCTGCACACAGTCCTCAATGTGCTTGACAGGAAGCTGAGTCTGCAGGAAAAGATGGAGTTGGCTATCTGACAGGCATACTGTCATGTGCAGCACCCTGTAGATGAAGACGAAAGGCCAGGAATTAAATGTTTAACATTCAAATAATATTTCTGTAATGCTATTTTTATCTCTTTTATTTGTAACACCAGCAAACACTAAGGGCCCTATCATACACCCGGTGCAATGCAGCGCGGAGCGCGGCACAAGTGTTTTTTGCTAGTTTCAGCACAACGCAGTTATCATTTTCATATCCTGCACCACGTTGTTTAAATGGCAAATGCATTTGCGCCCATGGGTGTGCTGGTCTGAAAACGAGGTGTGTTTAGGCGCATTATTGACGCGTTGCTATTTTTAGGCAACTGAAATAGACTTTAGACCAGGTTTCAGTTGGTCAATGGCGCAATATTTTTTTTGTTATTTAAAGAGCGTGTTAGTAATATGCGCCTATAGGCGGGTCCACAACTCTCGTACACTTATTACACACACACTGGCTTGTCCCGTAGATGGTCTGCTTGCGCGCTTTCCTCGCGCACAAGCAGATCCGTTTTCTCTCTGGAGACACGTTCAGTCTTTCCACTATCAAATTCCGCATGTAAATAGCGAATCCGCCATGGCGCGAGCGCAACTAGATTTTAAAGGGAATGGGAGATGAGACTCTGATTGGTTTATTGCACGTAAAGCCCAAAACACACCCATTACGCATTAAGAGAGACCTTTTAGACCATGTGCCGGGCGCACCGACCATTTTCCCCGTCATTAAACTAGCAAAAGTGGATTCGGACACGCCCTGCTTGTGCCCTGCACTTAGATCTTTAAAATAGAGAGCCTAAGTCCCTCCCCTCCCGGTCGACCGCCATGGGACCTTATTTCGGACAAAATATTGTATGGTAGTCAATGGCGAGAGACAACAAATATTTTGATCTCGTTTGAATTGTGCCCTGAATTACACATATGATGTTTGTCAATTTAAAAGATACATTTTAAAGTCAAGAAAGTCGCAGTTTGATGTAAAACTGTTGAGGTATAAGACTTTGAAAATACGTAATTACAAAGACTACAAACCCAAAAGGCGCACATTTTCTCTCAATGAATGAAGCTAACTTTACTGAAGCTAACGTCTGTCATTTTTTCTATAGTCTTACGTTATAATCGTAACGTTACGCCGTCATGCCTGAGTGTTTTGTACAAGACTGCACACACACGAGCAACGGATCTCGCTCGTTGTTTCGCTTCCCGGGAGATGTAGTTCATTGAGCGATTTTCACATAAAACTAAATGTTACTCTTCTGTTTTATGACAAACTGCGACTTTCTTGACTTTCATAATTATCTTTTAAATTGACAAACATCATATGTGTAATTCAGGGCACAGTTCAGACGGAATAAAAAGATAAGTTGTCTCTCGCCATTGACTACCATACATATTTTTTCCGAAACAAGGTCCCATGAGCCGGAAGCGGAGGGGCGGGACTTAGGCTCTCTATAGGGCCCTAGAAGACTGACTAAGAAGTTAGACTGACTTATCCAAGAAGCTCTGAAGACCCTTTCTCCTTCTTTCAATGAAGTCATCGGTAATAAACGAGAAGAAAGACTTTTTGGGAAGATCAGGAACAGGCCTGTGGAAAATACAGCAATGCATTATGGGTAACTGGTCAAATTAAAAAAAAAATTAAAAGGCAACGCTTGATTTTTTGATTTTATTATGTTTTGATGGAATAAAAAAATCCCTACTACATGGGAGTATAACATTGCTTACACAGTACATTTAAACTAAATTATTTAAATTTTTAATTGGCATATCTAAACAAATGATTTCCCTGAAGTATATATTTAAAAACATTTTTTAATGAAGCACTTTGGCTGAGACGTAGTGTCCGGTCAAATGTTTGTAAACATTACTATTATTAAGTCTCTTATGCTCATTAAGCCTGCATTTATTTATAATATTGTGAAATATTATTACAATTTAAAATAAGGGTTTTCTATTTGAATATACTTTAAAATATTTTTTTATTTATTTAAACTTTAATTTATTTCTGTGATGAAAAGCTGAATTTTCAGCAACATTACTCCAGTCTTCAGTGTCACACAATCCTTCAGAAATAATTCTTGTTGCTGCTTCATTTTTTTATATAACCTGTGGTATTTTTTTCTTTGATTAATAAAAAGTTAAAAATGAACAGCATTGATTTAAAATAGAAAACTTTTTTTTTACAATATACACTACCATTCCAAAATTTGGGGTCAGTCTTTTTTTTGTGAAAGAAATTAATACTTTTATTCAGCAAGGATGTGTAAAATTGATAAAAAGTAATATTTATATTGTTTTCTATTTATGAATAAATGCTGTTCTATTTAACTTTTTATTCATCAATGAATCCTGAAAAAAGTATCCCCGGTTCCAAAAAATATTAAGCAGCGCAACTGTTTCCAACATTGATAATAACCGAGTATCAAATCAGCATATTAGAATGACTTCTGAAGGATCATGAGACACTGAAGACAGGAGTAATGGCTGATGAAAATTTAGCTTTGCATCATAGAAATAAATTATATTTTAAAGTATATTAAAATAGAAATATGTAATATTTCACAATGTTACTGTTTTTTTCTGTATTTTTGATAAAATAAATGCAGGCTTGATGAGCATAAGAGACTTTAAAAAAAAATTTAAATAGTAAAGTTTCCAAACTTTTGACCAGTACTGTATATCTCAGCCATACTGCCACTTGGAAGTGTTTGTGCAAAGGAACTTACACCAGACCAGCGTTCTTTTGCAGCTTTTTCTTCAACCACACAAACTCGCTGTATCGCCGCCTCACACAGGATGTTTTGGCAGTGAATGCTTTACTGTTTGTCTGGTAAATGAAACCAAGTAACCAAATTCAGATCACTGATACAGTTAACATGAGGCCTGACAAAAACAACTGTTGAACAACAGAAGAATAAGAACATGTATACTAGTGATTACTATTTTTATTAATCTTATAATTAACAGAATTGTTGCACATCTTCAAAGTACCAAACTTTTCACTTAAGGTGAATCTTTTTCGCTGTGTGTTAAATTGCATATTGTACAGAATTTCAGCCATAGCCCACCTTGCGCTCTAGATTCGGATATACACATATTATGTCATTAAAAAGATAAAAATATAAAAACAATAGAGGCATGGAAACTCCCATCAACTCCACGGATAAGACAGAAATAATAAAATGAGGACACAGCTATGATTCAATCAACACCACTACTGTAAACAATACAGGACTACCGATCAGTTGTAAATAAATAAATAAATAACTTTTATACATATACGTTAGTCTTTGTTAAGAAATTCTTTATAACAATGTCATCTTGACATCTAAATCTGAGGCCAGTTGCATAAACTTGTGTCTTAAGAAGAACTAGTTTGACCAACTAGCAGTTAACCAAGGGGTAATAATCAGTCTTACTGTTCCAATTCAAATTAGACCTACCTTTAAGTAAAGACTTAAAAAACTTCAGAAAAAAAAAAATAGATGACTAACTTTTAAGTCTAGTCTAAGCAGTTTATGCAACTGGCCCTCATTTCAAGTAGAACTGATCAATGAAGTACTTTGTAACTTGGAAAGAGTCACATTATTATATTGTAATCTTGTAATATTATCAGAAATCCTTGAGGCAGAAATACTCACATGAAGGAAAATTTTGAAGTCCACAAATGAGTTCCACGACCCTTCGTTCTGAACACGAGGATCCTGAACTCTCACTGCAATGAATTCCTAAAGAAAAAATAAAGGAACATGTTTTTTTAAAGATCAACATGTACAGTTATAAAACATGTATGACATTTTATACCTTTAAAAAGAGAATCCTGCAGCCCATCTTCTAAGCCTCAATATCTTAGACCCATAAGATCTTATTGCTTAGGGGTTTTAGTACAATATACAGATCTGTCATTGCACATAACACAGCCGAACTGGAAATAATAAGAAAGAGATCTTACATCTTGCTCTTGACTTTTGATCATCCTACCAGACGTAACATGGCACCATTGACATCTGTGGAAAAACAGTGAACATGAGTCATCAACAACAACAACAAACATCCCTTATCATGAATGTTTTACTAAGTCTATGAACTCACATTATTTTGTCTTTGGTTTTCCATAATTTGAGGAGAGCAAATATCTTCATAAATCCATAAAGGGAGAAATCAACAGATTCCTCAGACCTGGTAACGTTACTGTCTACTCTCCAAAACATCACAAATTGTTGATTTTGAGTATCTAGGGGACACACATCTCCTGACTCGCTCTTTTAACCCTAGCGATGAATCATCTGCCCCTCCTCTTCCTCTAAAACCCCATTAATCATGACTATTCGTCAGCTTTGTGGTCAATAATGTGATTTACCCATGATTACAGGGTAACTTAAATGCGTTAAAACTGAACATGTTAATGTTAGCAGTCCTGTTAAGAGGAATACTTTGGCATTAATGTATTGGATTTTAACTCGATAACCTTTTGTCTGTTATCTGTCACAACACTTCTTACACCAGAGAATAGTTAGAAGAGCCGTTTTCGCTTTATATTTATATTGTTAAGTGTGATACTTACTGTAGTAGTGCTCGATTTCCAGGTTGTAGTACAGCTAGCGCAAGTTAATTAGCTAAGATACGAACGTCAACAAATAAAGTAAAATCACTACCTTCATCCCACCCGATCGAAAAATGTTTTATGGTATTTTCACTTAGATTGTATTACATACACAGATAAAACAGATACGAGATATTAAAAACACGTCCAAAACATTGAGTCAGCGAGTAACGTGATCAGCTTCCTTTTTCTTCAGCTGTGAAATAAACAAGCTGAGGTGAGATACTGCCATCTTGTGTTCGGGGTGGTTAGTCTGTTGTTGATGGATTATTAGCATAGATTATTAGTCTGTTTATGATCATAAATAAAAAAAATAGTTGGCTCACTAAGTTTGAGACACAGACACTATTGTACTGCTTATCTTTTCCCTTTAAAGAAAATGTATTCGTTCGCGGCCTTGTAGAGGATAAGCCGGTTTGGAGAATGGAATGGAATGGAATGTATTTTTTGTAAACTGCATTAAGGCAAGAATGTTCACCAATATCACCATAGGCCTACTATTTTACATCAATTTCCTGACATCTGAACATAAAGCAAGGTTCAAAATACACGTTTCATTTTGTTAGCATATTAGAATGGCAGTATTTTGGATTTGGATAACTTTTGGATTTACGGATCACTCCATAAATAAGAAAAAAGGTTACTGTCAACAGAAAAAAAAAATTCACTATGTTTTTGGGAATAAAATGTTATAAGGAATAAAATTATATATAAATCAGGCTAATGATATTGTAACAGAGTAAAACCCTTCAGAATAAGATACAAAACAAACTTAAATGTGTACATGCTACTCAAGTGGAGATTTCTGTCCATGTCATTTCGATATAGGGGAGACGTAACACTTTTTGTTTGAGCATCAGTAAACTTAGTGGTTGTTTGTGCTATAGATCTCTCAAACTTTGATACAATGTATCTACATTTGTCTACTACAACAAAAACTAACTTGGACCGACGTACTACAAAACCTCAGATAATGTGAGTCAATGTCAAATATAAAGAGTTTCGTTGTTGCAACCTACCACACTATTGGAGGTGAGTTGTAACACTTGCTGATGTAACAATGAGAGATAATTTGCTGAATTAAGATCCACACTATCTAATTTATGCAAGAACTTAATCGAAGAACAGAGTAATCAGATTTATGCAAGAACTTAAAACCTCTTAACCCTGCATGGGCCCGCCGGCGGGCCCATTTGCCATTGCATGTTTAAAACAATAATATCTTAGTAAAAACCTAAAGTAATATTGCCAAACTATATATCATTTGAAAGCTTAAAATCTCTAGTTTTCATATTTGGTGGCTGTTATCTAAAATATATTACAGAGGAGCAGAAATTTATCAATTTGCAACAAGAATATTTCATATTCATTAGGAGTATTTAGGCCTTTATTTTGAAATAACAATAAACATGAAAAATCATGAAAGATTGGTAGAAACCTCAGTTTGTTTTCATGCCATGAGTTCAAAAGATAACACCAATTCCATTTTATGAGAAAAAAAGGTCTGAAAATGTTTTAAATATAAAGAAAAATGTATGGATTCTCGATTTGTAATGCGGCTGCGAGCTATAACGCTATAACGTAGTCTTTATGCATTTATTAGAGGTTTAATTCAAATCCAATACTGCCAAACCACCCCTACTACTTCTGAATAGGATGTCTACTTCATAAATTGTATGAAAATTATGGAAATACATGGTTCAGATCACTCAAAACATATGAAAATGGAGGCGCCCTTATATGGGCAGTAATGGATTCTGGTGTTCACCTAGTGAAAAAGTTGGGTACTGCGCCCGAATAAAATCATACTGAAAGCTCATTTTTTGAGATATCAACCTAAAATTTGGAATACAACTTGTTCAGATATTTGACTTTATTTTTCTTGCAGTTTTAGAGTAAAATATATTTTGTAATATATATATTTTATATAAAATATTAATCATTATATTTTTACATTACACAATTTCATAAACTCAAACTTATATAACTTTTTTTCTGTTTCATTTTTTACAATTTCTGGACTTCTACAATAATCTGGAAAATGTCTTCTTTAAAACAAGACCAGCCATAGGTCTATATTCCAAAGCATTCCTGAATTACAACCATTTAAGTTTGGATAGTGATTTTTATGTCTATGCAAAAAAAAGGGGGGTGCCAGTTAACTAATCGAAGAACAGAGTAATCAGATTTTAAAGTGAACGATTTAAAGTGACAAAAAACATTATATTGTTTTTCTTTTAGGACTTTAAATTGAGCACAAAAACAATTGCAGTGTGTGTTTGTGTGTGTGTACTATAATCCTGTCACATGAGTGTTCAGTCACTATAGCTAGAGTGTTTCTTTTGGGATAGCAAAAACAAAAACGCTGGATGGAGACATAAAGATGTGCATGAATTCTAAAAATGTGCACAAACAAACGTATGTGCTTAATTTAGCCATAAACCTTTTTTTCCAAAAAGAAGACATGCGCATAGACTACAATGGAAACACATTTACCACATAAATCCTTCAATGCACAACAAAAAACTCATGTGACTTTGCCTTAACAGAGGATATGACTGATAACTGGTAACATCATTTTTAATAAACTGTTACCCCACCCCACGCAGCCATAGCATAGCTAACTGTTTTAGCATTTGGGTTTAAGGTTAGCATGAATGCAAAGCATCAAATTGAACTAGAGAAATGGCTATTTTAGGTTATGTAAGTCAAATAGTTGTATCTACAATACAATTAATGCTAGGCAAAAAATAATCTTGATAAACATTTTTTATTTTATTTCCTGAAAATCAGTTTTCCCTGTAGTGTCTTGCCTTAGCTACAATAAGCTTACTGTATATGAAGGAAAAAGCCTAATTTCATGCAATATTGTGCTTTTTAAATCCTCATATCATTAGAACTATATTTTGCAATTGTAATGTGGGATAAACATGCATAAAAAGAAAACACTTAGTCTAGCACAAAATACTTATTTTGACTCAAGGGTGCAGAAATGTATAATAGATATGGTATTATACAACCAATATCTTAGAATAATATGATATTGATGGTGTTTTCAGCACTTCAGAGTCATAAACCAGTCTCTGATGTCTGTGATGAAGAAAGATCCATTCTACATGACGTCTCAGTGGTGTGTTGAGCATAAGAACTTTATCCGCTGTAATCTTCTTTAGCTTCTGTTGCAAGCAGGTGGGGATGTCATATGGAGCTGCTGAGACGGACAGGGACAATGAGACTTTTATTTCAGGCTTTGAGCGTGTATTCTGGCTGGTGAGTGTCTGACAATAACAACATAGTGGATCATTTGTATAAATGATTTAGTACGGCCAGAATGTTGATATTTGTTCTTTTTCAACAAAAGAAATGGAGGACGCAGAGGTCCGACAGCAGAAGCTGGACAATCAGGTGAGTGTCTTTTGATTAGACATTTACTTGTGTTGCATATTTTATCAGTAACATTTGTTTTTCCAGTATTATTTTACCTTTTACATTATTGTCATGCTTAATTTCACGCTTGAATTAGGCATTGCTGGGAATATGGTCTATAATAAATAACTGGATGTTTAACAGCAGTTTTAATCATGTCAACTCTCATAGCGTTCGCTTTTAATGAAGAAACAACAAAGAAGAAGGGCAGATTCCCGTATGGTCACAGCGAATCAGGACATTCGCCCCAAGACACGTAAACAGAAAGCTGAGGCTGATGATACAGCTTTATTGATAAGCCAGTCTCAGAGCAACACTTCCCTCAATGGTTCGTACACACTTACACTAGGCCTATATTATTGTTAACATATAATTGTTTATTAGTAATGATTTTCATTTTGTAGAGCTTTATAGAAAATAATACCCTGCCTTTTTCTTATCAGACACGCAACCTGTGCAGATTTATGAAAACACAGTGGAAGAAATTTGTTTAGGAGAACTGGACATTTCATCCAGGACAGAAGAGGCATCGGAAGAGGCAGCTCATTCTCTTCAGGTTATCACAAAGAAAATTGATCTAGAGATCAGCCCGCAGCACAGCCCTAAATGCCCTTTAGACACAGAGGGCCAAGCAGATGAAAAGAAAACTAAGAAGAAGGCTGTGAAAAAGGGGCAAACAAAATGTAAGGGTTTTCACTATTTTCTATTATCGTTTTTACATCTGCCTCAATGTGATGTGTATGGACACAGCTTGTTTCCACCACTGAATAACAAATAAAAAAGGTAATTGAGACTCTTTATATTTATTGCAATTTATATATTTTTTCCCTCACAATTGTCAGATATAAACTTGCAATTGCGAGTTATAAAGTCTGAATTGTGAGATATAAACTTGGAATTCTGACTTTTTCTATCTCGCAATTCTGACTTGCAAGATATAAAGAGGTAAAAACTCGCAATTGCGAGAAAATGTTTCTCAGAATTGGACTTTATTGGAATTCCGACTTTATATTCTATCCAATTCACATTTATTTGTAGTGCTTTTCACAATACATATTGCTTCAAAGCAGCTTTACAGAAAAAGCATGTTTTTACATTACATTCTCCCGATCAATTTTGAGCATTCAGATGGTATAATCTAACATATCTTTTGGAGCGCTTTCGGAGTATGCATTTATTTCTCATTTTAACTGTTTGACTTCCAAGATTTTTTTTATTCTGTTGGGCCCTCTATACTAGGCCATAACCAGCGACTAGTCAACGTCAAGCTTAAAGTGTTATGGCAGAGCATTAAAGTCAACTAATCGACTATTCTGAGTTTTTATCTCGTGAAATTCTGTGAAAAAAGTCAATTGTGAGATAAAAAGTCATAATTACTTTTTGTAATTTTATACTTTTTGTTTTATATATTCCGTGGTGAAAACAAGCTTCCATAGATGTATCTTTACATTTTGTTTAATTGCACATTCTAGTACCAAAACCAGCATTAGAAGCCAAGGAAAATGAAGGGAAAGAGAAAAAAACAGTGAAGAAGAAGGATAAGACAAACGAATCTAAGGAGAAAGTGCAGACTGGGGAACAGTCTTGTAAGTGTACCGGAGATGTGTCTCCATTGTTTAGCATGACACAAGTTAAAGGCCATTTCCTGTAGCACAGGCCAGTGCCTCATCCATAAATAGGAAATAACCTGACATTGTTTTTAATAACATTCCAACTTGTGGTATTTTTCAGCAATTCAGACTGATTCAGTGGTGGAATTCAACATTAATGAAGAGAAAAAACCTGAATCAGAGAGTGAGGATGAAAGAAAAGATTGGACAAAGAGCCCCGTCCCTCCCACACCAAAGAAACAACAGCTGAAGCCAAGTAAAAAATAGCTTTAAAAAATAATATTTGTCTTGTCATATTAACCTTTTTGGTAAGAGATGGTTTCCCTTTGATTAGGCCTGTTTGATGACATAAGTTTTCTGTCATTGTAGTGAGATGTCATCTCAGTGATAGTGAGGAAGAAAAACAGAACGAAGAAGAGGAGGACAAGAAGAGTGAAGCTAAAAAAACATCAAAGAAGTCTAAAAAAGGATCAAAAAATAATAACGATATTGCTTCTTTAAACTCCAACTATAAGGAGCCCTCCTCTGACAGTGACTCTCTGGACATGGGAAAGGTAAGATTTAGTTGAAATTCATTCATTTTTATATATACATATAGAAGACACATCAGGGTCACATTCCAGGATGACAACCAAAAACTAAAATGTATGCACCACTTGATGGAAATAAATGTTGTGATGTTATTTCCATCAAGAGATGCATACATTTTTGGTCAAGGTCTTATATTGACAATGCAAGAGTCAAGCACTCTGTAAAGTCTCCTCCAGCACATCCTAAAGACTTTCAATGAATTAAAAGGGTTAATTCGCCCAAAAATGAAAATTCTGTCAGTAATTACTCACCCGCATGTTGTTCCAACCCCGTAAGACTTTCGTTCATCTTCGGAACACAAATTAAGATATTTTTTATTAAATCTGAGAGCTGGATCACTCCTCCATAGGCTGCTAGGCAATTGCATCTCCCGGCCCAGAAAAGTTGAAAAATTAGTCCAAGTCCAGTTAAAATTGTCCAAGTGACTACAGTGGCTCAACTCTAAGTTCATCAAGCGATGAGAATACTTTTTGAGCGCAAAAAAAAACAAACGTAAAGACTTTATTCAATTATTAATTTTCTTCTGTGTGGGCCTCAGACGTGTGTTCATGAGAGCGTCACGACACATGTGCGAGAACTGAGAAGATGACGCTCACGATCATTTGATGGGAAAGTGTGAAAGATAAGCCATTCTTTTTGCTGCATTGGTAAGGCACTTTTACGTTTTCTCGTTCGTTTCTCACAATATGGACATCCAGGAAATGCACACTTTAGAACCATTTTAAACACTACATCGCGACCCATCTGCATCATCTTCTCAGTTCTCGTGCATGTGTCGCGACGCTCTCGTGAACACACAAGAAAATGAATAGTTGTATAAAGTCGTTATTTTTGTTTTTTTGCGCACAAAAAGTATTCTCATCGCTTGATAAACTTAAGGTTGAGAGCCACTGTAGTCACTTGGACTATTTTAACTATGTCTTTACTAACTTTTTTGGGCCGACAGAATGAAAAGGAGTGAGCAAGCTCTCAGATTTCATCAAAAATATCTTAATTTGTGTTCCGAAGTTGAACTAAAATCGGTAACACTTTACTTGAAGGGGTGTACATAAGACTGACATGACACCTTCATAACCATGACATGACATATGTCATGAATATGAAGTAGGGTTTATGCATGTTTATGACAACTGTCATTAAGTGTCTTTCGCTCAATAATGACATTTTGAATGCAAATATGAGATTGTTTAAGATGTCTTTGTTATGACACCTTGACTTAAACCATAACATCATAACCTGTCAGTGTCTTTGTCATGACAACTTGAGATTAAATTAAGTTAAACTGTCATGTGGTTGGTTTTGACATTGGCTGTCATAAGGCTATTATAACTGTGTCATGAATATTTTTCGTGACCTCAACTACAGTGGTACAAATTTAATTTGTCAATAAACAGTTATAATGGCTTCATGACAGCCAATGTCAAAACCAACCACCTGACAGTTTAATGTAATGTTAACCAATAAAGCTAAGTGGTTTCTTAAGTTTGATAATTAATCTGCTATGTCGTGTTTATGACAGGTTGTGTTGTCTTAGTAATGTCAAGTTGTCATGACAAAGACACTGACAGGTTATGATGTATTGGTTTATGTCAAGGTGTCATAACAAAGACATCTCAAACAATGTCATATTTGCATTAAAAATGTCATAATTGAGCGAATGACACTTAATGACAGTTGTCACAAACATGCATAAAACTTCCTTCATATTCATAACATGTGTCATGTCATGATTATGAAGGTGTCATGTCAGTCTTATGCACACCCCTTCAAGTAAAGTGTTACCCGAAAGTCTTACGGGGTTGGAACAACATGAGGCTGAGTACTGACAGAATTTTCATTTTTGAGTGAACTAACCCTCCAAGGTCTGAATTCTTCATGCTCCCTCCCAACTATTCTTTTACAATTTGAGCCTGATTAATCTTGACATTGTCATCCTGGAAGATGGCCATGATGTGCCTTCCTACATGGTTGTTTAAGAAATGAAAAGCTACACACTCCATCCATCAGTTAGGTTTAGAAGAACTGTTGCCAAACATTTAACAAGCTAGAAACATAATCACTGCAATAATGATCCAGTCAAAGACTTTTAAGCATGTAAATCCAAACAGCAACCTTTTTTTTTTGGCCGGGCAGTGTATTACTGTATATATCCTTGTTTTTTTCTGTCTTATCCAGTCCTCTCCTATGTCTTTGGAGGATCTGGAACAGTTTTCCATGCATCCTGCTCCAAGAGATGGAACTATTCAGTGCAGGATCACCAGAGACAGGAGGGGAATGGAAAAAGGGATCTATCCCACCTATTACCTCCACATGGAAAAGGAGGATGGGAAAAGGGTTAGCAGGAGTGTGACTGTGAATAAAGAAAATTTGTAAAAACTATCTTTTTTTCATCTCTTAACACATGGTTATTCTCTTGTCCTATGAATGGGCAGGTATTTCTGATGGCTGGCAGGAAAAGAAAAAAGTGTACAACTTCAAATTATTTGATATCAATCGATCCTACAGATTTATCTAGAGATACTGACAGTTACATAGGCAAACTAAGGTGAGTGCCATTATAGTGTGTTAAGTTATCACAAATACTTTTATTGTTTGTAATTCTGCCTATGCAAAGATATATGATTTGTCTCCTCAGGTCAAATGTCCTGGGGACTAAATTCACTGTGTACGATAATGGCGAGAATCCAGAAAGAAAACAATTCCTCAAAGAAACGGATACACTGCGACAAGAGCTAGCCGCAATATATTATGTAAGATGCTAATTGCCCATTAGATGTCTACAGTAACTTTTAAAAAATATATATATTTTTTTTATTGTGATTGCAAAAAAGTTTTATCTTTGCCGTCACACAGGAGAAAAATGTTCTGGGTTTCAAAGGTCCCAGGAAAATGATAGTAATCATTCCTGGTATGCACGAGAATGATGAAAGAGTCGTTATTCGACCAAAAAGTGTGAGTATTTTATTGAGGATTCTAGTTTACATTTTTTGTTGATCATTTGTAGCAATATTATATTTCTTTTGAAAATACACTACCATTTAAAAGTTTGGGGATGGGGACAGTAATATTTTTATATTTTTGAAAGAAGACTTGTGCTCACTGTATTTATTTGATCAAAAATACAGTAAAAATAGTAATTTTGTGAAATTGTATTGCAATTTAAAATAACTATTTTCTATTTTAAATATTTTAACCCATGATACATTTTTTCTTTGATAAATAGAATGTTCAAAAAGAACAGCATTTATTTGAAATTGAAATTGTTTATAACATTATAAATGTCTTTTGATCACTTTAATGCATCCTTACTGAACAAAGGTATTTTTTATTTATTTTTTTAATCGTAGACTCCAAACTATTGAACGGTAGTGTATAATTTATGTCTTGGAGATTTATGTGTTTCTTACACTTCACTCAGATAAAGAATATAAAATACATTAGGTGTTTGATTCACTGATTAAAACAACTGTCAATCATGTGTATATTAATGAGGAACTCTGAACACACGAATCTCTTTTGCATGTCCCAGGAACTGGAGTCTCTGCTCACCCGATACGAGAATGGTAACAAAGAGAATCTTGTCACCCTTGTAAATAAATCACCCAGCTGGAATGAGCAAACTCAGTCGTATGTGCTCAATTTCCATGGCCGAGTTACACAGGCATCTGTGAAAAACTTTCAGATTGTCCATCCAGATAATGGTGAGTGAGACTCAGAAGGTTATCCTTCTTTTTCTCATTTTGCATCTTAAACAAAATAAAGGTTCTTTTATCGACATCAGTGGTTCCATGAGGAACTTCTAACATCCATGGAACCTTTCCATAAGGTTATTTATAGTAGAAAAAGGTTCTTCATGTCATTAAAAGGGTTCTTTTAAGAACTGTTCACTTTTGGAACCTCAATTTTAAGACTGTATCAAATAATACATTACAATTCTCAATACTAATCCTTATCAATGAATATCTCTCTCCAGAGGACTACATCGTGATGCAGTTTGGCCGGGTAGCCGAAGATGTGTTTTCCATGGACTACAGCTTCCCCATGTGTGCTCTACAGGCATTTGCCATCACTTTGTCCTCCTTTGATGGCAAACTGGCCTGTGAATGAGCCTCATCCATCTGTATTTTCTGTTCTTTTAAAAAGGGAAACTTTGCAGTACTTTAGGATGTTAAATGTCTTTGCAGTCAGAAATTAAAGAACAAGATATTTTCTATTATCTGCAAATTAAGACGTACAGTAGATGTAAATGTATCTGCTTTACTAATTATTCATGAATCTACAATTAATAACTTGAAAGGTATGCAGTTTGTTCATATTTGTTCCATCTTTAAAGGCTAAATTTAATAGTCTGTTTTCCAAGACTGTTTAAAGGAACACTCCGACTTTTTGAAACTTTAGCCTATTCACCTTATCCCCCAGAGTTAGATAAGTCCATACATACCTTTTTCATCTCCGTGCGTGCTATAACTCTATCTGACGCACCCACCGCTAGCCTAGCTTAGCACAAAGACTGGATGTAAATGGTTGCAGCTAGCATACTAATCCAAATAAGTGACAAAATAGCGCAAACATTTTCCTATTTACATGTTGTGATTTGTATAGTCACAGAGTGTACAAAAAACAAAGTCACATGAGACACAGACATATTTTAACCGTATAAATACTGGGAACTATATTCTCTGAAGGCGAAGCACTGCTACTTGGGCGGAGTGATAACCGCAGCACCTGAGACGCGCTCTCTGCTCCTCACCACGGCTCGTCTCAGGTGCTGCGGTTATCACTCCGCCCAAGTAGCAGTGCTTCGCCTTCAGAGAATATAGTCGCCTTTAGAGAATATAGTTCCCAGTATTTATACGGATAAAATATGTCTGTGTCTCATGTGACTTTGTTTTTTGTACACTCTGTGACTATACAAATCACAACATGTAAATAGAAAAATGTTTGCGTTATTTTGTCACTTATTTGGATTAGTATGCTAGTATGCTTTATGTCCCAAAAAGTCGGAGTGTTCCTTTAAGCAAATCATTTTATTTGATATTTTCTTTTAAAGGTTCTCTAAGCGATCCTGGGTGACGTCACTTCTTGTTGACGTTCGAACTATTGTCAAACAAAACGGAGGCTAGCTAGACCCTCCCTCCTCCTCATCCGCACACTAACCCCCCAAACCACACCCCCAAACCCTTCTTGTCGGTCATTGGCTGGAACAGTTTGTTATGTTTTGGGGAGCGGGTCGCTGCAGTTTGTTTTTGGTGCTGTTTGTGAAGCATGGGCTGTCTACAGAGATCGCGTTTCTTTACAGTGTGTTCAGGGGACAGGCAGCCAGCGGATAGTGAGGAGATGTTTGCTGTATGTGACAAAAAATGTTTTGGCCTAAAAAACACATGACATCGCTTAGAGCACCTTTAATTTCCTTCATTTATTGTTTTTCCTTTTTGTTTGTTTCTTTGTTTACATGAAAAAGAAAGCTTGGAATTTGGTAAATAAAGGCTGAATTAATGATATTATTATTATGCAGTTACTCTTTATAAGGTTACATCGACTTTAAAGTTAAGTCATCTGATCACTTTATATGGTAGTGGATATTCCCCCAGTAGGGGGCAGTGAATGCAGTGATTGTTTTTTCATACGTCTGCAAACTAAAATAGAAGAAGAGAAGGACAAATTCGTATACAACTGCATCGGCCGATGTTGCACTCTAAGCATAACTGAAGTTTATCCATGTAATTTGAATGTTATCATTCGGGCACCTCACACCAGCGCCCTCAACAATCCTCTCTGACTGAAAGTTATTTGTGGAAGTTGGCTCTGGCATGAAATGTGACTTTGAATCAAGGGGGTAATCCATCGACCGGAAGTTGAAGCCGGCCGGGTACCGCCATCTTGTAGCAGAACTTCACTTGCGTTAGCATTTCCATTGACTACCATTCATTTTGGCGTCACTTTGACAGCGAATAACTTTACATCTGAGGCGTTTAAAGACTCCATTTGTCCATTATTTATTTCTAAAGAAACACGACAATGTATAAATGGCTCCATTACCTTCTATGTTACATTATGGCCCCGTAGAAACAGTTTTAGTAAAAATAGGCTAACGATTGCGTCATAACCACTCGACTCTCTGTCGCGCTGTACAGAAATTACCGTACAGACAGGAGGAGAAGCTCGCAGGCAATCGGGGGGACGTCCCGTCAAGGGAGAAGCCCATAGATAATGAGTCCATAAAAGCAAAGGAATACTTACTCCTGCTCACTCACGATAAAGGACTCTTTGCTCAAGTTCCCCGTCTCTGCAAGATTAACGTTGGCAATTTTCACGCACAGCTACTAGAAGATTCACGTCTGTCAGACAGGTTGCTCACGTCATCAAGCTTAGTTTGAGTCGGTCTGAGTCTGCGCGTCAGGAACGGAAGTTCTCAAAAATCGCTAAAAGTGGGCTTCAACTGTCTCAACTGAGTTCCAATGAGATCGCTCTGTCCATTTCTTTTACTGTCTATGCTTTGAATGGAAACTCCCTCTTTTTGGATTTGAGTTTTTGCACGCTTTGCGAGTTTGCAGACAGATGAGCGACGCCTGTTAAGACAGGAACTTTTGATCAGAGTTGGATTTAAGATACATCGAGAATGCGTGACCGGACCAAAGAACTGGGCAATGTGAGTAAAAAAGGGCAGTGCACTGCACACAGGAAACCGGCTAACAAGCTAACGGGCTAACCCGCAGATAGTGTAACCTCTGCCACAAGTTCACAACTGTGATTTATTAAAACCCACACATTCTCACGGGTGGCAGCCTGCTGCTATGTGACTGACTTTTAATGTGTCTTTATGCAGAGCGTTGAAAATATAAGTCAAATTTTACAAACTGGAAGCTAACATCCTCCTCCTGCACTGCGCTCTAGTCTCGCAGTGTTTTAGGTGGAGTGTGACTTTATTTAGCCTACATACACACACTAGCTGCAATGAATGTTTGCAGTTAAGTGATTCCCTCCCCAAGCAAATTCAAAATGGCACCCATTCTCAATTATTATTTAACTTTGTATTTTATTTGGATTTGTCACACCCCGAGGAAGAAAAGTTTAATATCACATCCGTTAGTTAGAACCCTGTTTCTTATCATAACACTGAACTATGTGTCTGATATATATATTTATTTATTTATTTATTTATTTATATATAAAATAAACAAATAACAATATTTAATGTATCTCACTAGACTGCTGGTGATGCCTCGGACGAAGATGACGAAAACAAGGCTCTTATGATAAAGCCTGGATCTGGGAGCTCAGCAAATGAAGAGAAAGAAAATGAGTCTTTCTTCAGAAAGGTTAATTTTTGGTCATTGTAGCAGATTGTATCTCTAATTGGAAGTATCACTCCATCTTTCAAAAGTAATATGAACATAAACTATTAGGGAACTGTAGAGAAGAAGCTTATTCTTTGTGTAAACAACTCCAGAAATGAGTGTGTCTACCAAACTCTGTTAATCTTGTAACGTCAGTTATTCAGCAAGCATAAATTACGTTTTTGTTTTTTAAATTGTAGTCTGTATGGTTTTAGGCTTACAAAGTTTCCTGAGCAAAACATAATTGTCACAATAATATCTTGTTTTTTTCTCTGTGTAGGTTCAGGAGATTCGAGAGGGGCTTGAAACTATTAAGAAGAAGGTGTCGGAATTGGAGAACAAACAGAAAACAGTGTTAGGAGTTGCACTTCCTGAGGACAGTGAGTAGCTTAGCTTAGGGTATTTTTTATATTTCAACGAATTTCTATTAAATAAATATCATGGTTCTCCATGGAGTGTTTTCAGTTTAAGTTTTATCATACAACACAAAGTACATACCAATTAATACCACAAAATAAGACCTTTTTGTTTTTTTTAATGACATGTTATGATTTTTAACCTTTTTATTTGTTTATGAATAAATACATATAAAATAATTTTTTACTTGACCATAGCTATGAAAAAGGAACTTCAGTCCCTCAGAGAAGACATCAAAGTCATGGCCAGCCAGATCCAAAAGAAGTTAAAAGGTGAGACTTATAAATAAACATAAGTGGTTGTTATTGAACTTTTTCCGCCAGACCTAGTGGATGTGAAAAATTAAACAATACATTTACGTCACAGGCATCGAACCTAAGAAAGCTGAAGGTGAAGACAAATATATTCCAATAAACGTAAGAATGCGTCGAACTCAGGTAAGTTACTTTTAATCTATATTACATATGTATTTTATTTATTGCATGTAAACTGTTGTTTTGGCACAGAATAATCTGCTCCTCCTTTTTTCTTTTGAAAGCATGGTGTTCTGTCCCGTGAATTTCTGGAATTGATGGGTCACTGTAATACAATTCAATCCCAATACAGAGACCGAAATGTGGAGAGGATACAAAGACAACTCAAAATCAGTATGTGGCTTTTCTGTCATGTTTTATTCCATTGATAATACTAGCGTTCTCACACAGGTCTCTCATAATATAGGCTAGTCATTTTAAATGTGCACTGAGTCATTTTTTTTCTGAGTAAATTAACAATGCTAGGTGTTAGTATAAGACCAAGACTTCTGCCATATCAGCCAGTGCAACATAAAACAAAAAAATCGTTTTCTACTGATGCTTTTATATGCATTATTCCTGTTAAATAAATAAAACTAATGTGAATCTGGTTTCCCTTACAGCTGGTAACAATGTCACAGATGAGGAGCTGGAATCAATGCTTGAGAGTGGACAAACAGACGTTTTCACACAAAATGTGAGTGTGTTGTTTTGTGTAGTGTGCATGTATTGATGTGAATGATAGGTGTGAGCCTTGCATTTTGCTTATAGTTATTCATGGCTTAATTTTCTACAATTACCTGAAGAAAACAGTCCACAGCAGAGTGATATTATTTATTACAGTCTTCTTATTTTTCACATTTCAAGTCTTCTCTTTTGCTTTCTTTGGAATGGATGTTTAATTTGGGTAAGAAGATCCTTTTAGAAACAGTTCCTTATGAAATTCAATTTGATGTTATTTCTTGTTTTTGATGAAGTTGATTAACCTGTCTGGCCCTTTGGTGATATAACCATTTATAATAAATAGGGAATTTTCTTTTTTAAATTCCAGATTAAGGAAATCTGTGTTGTCAACATCATTAAAAGCATCATAGAAGTAAATGCCTCTCATTTTCAGTACCTCCTTTTTTTTTTTTTTGAATTCCACTTCCCTTTTAGACTTTTGATTACAGTCAATCTTGCCTTCCAGCTTATATATTCAGTTTTCTAGAATCCTTCCACCCCCTTTGAAGCATCACCACCACAAAACATTTCACTATTCTGTCCTATATGTCACGTGATCACATGTCCCTAGCATTTTGGGGGCCCTAAGCAGATTTTTTAAAAGGGGGGGTCAAACTTACGTTTTGACCTAACTGGCCCCCATCCCCTAACTTACACATCCTACATTGACACCTTTTTGTAATATTTTATCAAATTATCTTTACTCTGTATATGTGTGAAGATAGATTTACTTAAGCAAACCATTAAATTTTTTAGTTTAACCATTACTTTCAGAGAAATGGATCTCAACTGAGTGAGATTAATGCTTTAACAAGGCAAAAAAAGACACTTACAATAGAGAGTAATTCGTTATTAATAATAATAATAGAGAATAATTTCATTTCTGTACTGGTGTGTTTCAAAGCAGCTTGAAATGAAAAAAAAATGTATAAGTGTAAACGAAATTCGAATGTTTAAAAAAATTGCGATTTGAAAAAAAAAAATTGGTGTTTCAAAAACAACAAAACGAATATACAAAAATCTAAATTTCTGTTTGAAAACATGTAAATACTGTTTCACTTTCTTCTTTGTGACAAGCATGTGTCAGAAACAAAAGTTACATTGTGTACAGAGATAACCATGGTAACAGCTGTATTCCTTCTCTTCCATTAACACCACCTACTGTCAAAAAGTGAAGTTGCATTTTATTTCAGCCTGTCTGCTGCTTTTTTTCTTTTTAAGATCAATGCTAAAATCAGACTGCATTTTTACACTGCAAATACGCAATGTTGAAAAATGTAACTGGTCAATGGAAAAGGAGCTAATGTGTAAACAATTCGGATGAGGTATCTAGAAGTTTTTTGAAGTGCCCACGATAACAATACCGTGCATGTTCATTACTGCAATATAGATGATACTGATACTGTTGTTAAATTGGCACAGACACTTGATACATTAACACATGCGACTGACACAACCAAACTTTATCCAAATTATTATTTCCAAGCATTACTGTCTGAACCCCAGGCATGGGGCCCCCTGGTGGCCACAGGGGGCCTCATGCAACCACTTATTAGGTAGCACTAGAGGCCCTGTCCCAAATGGCACCTTAAAGGTTCTCTAAGCGATCCTGGGTGACGTCACTTCTTGTTGACGTTCGAACTATTGTCAAACAAAACGGAGGCTAGCTAGACCCTCCCTCCTCCTCATCCGCACACTAACCCCCCAAACCACACCCCCAAACCCTTCTTGTCGGTCATTGGCTGGAACAGTTTGTTATGTTTTGGGGAGCGGGTCGCTGCAGTTTGTTTTTGGTGCTGTTTGTGAAGCATGGGCTGTCTACAGAGATCGCGTTTCTTTACAGTGTGTTCAGGGGACAGGCAGCCAGCGGATAGTGAGGAGATGTTTGCTGTATGTGACAAAAAATGTTTTGACCTAAAAAACACATGACATCGCTTAGAGCACCTTTAAGCACCGTCTTCCTCTAAGTCCGCACTTTCGTGACGTAAGTTACGTAACGCCAAAAGTGTGCATCAAGGGCGCATATTGACCGCAAAGGAGAATACCCTACATGAAGTCCACAACACTGAAAGTGCATATGAAGTGTGCCATTTGGGACAGGGCCACATGATGTGTGATCATGTGAAAAATCCTGTTTTACCACACAAGCCATGTTAAGGGCTCTTAACCCTAGTGTAAAATAAAATCTTTCTTGCAGATTTTGAATGATGCTAAAGCTACCAGGCAGGCTCTGAACGAGATTGAGTCGAGGCATGATGAGATCATCAAACTGGAGAGAAGCATCAAAGAACTACATGATATGTTTCAGTACCTTGCAATGGAGGTGGAAGCACAGGTGAGATCAACACCGGTTATATTTAGTACATTCCATAGATGTCTAGCAAATAAAAAATACCATGTCCTATCAATTTAATAACAGTGATGTTTAATAAATGTCAGTTTTTTGCCCATATTTTTACTTTAAATCTGTTTTTCCCAGGGTGAGATGGTGGACCGCATTGAGGAGAACATTAAGAGTTCCCATAACTATGTGGAAAAGGCCGTTAGGGAGACGGACGATGCTGTAAAAACTTCAAAAAAAGTGTGCAAGGTGAGTCAATGATTTATATGATTATTTATTTATTTATTTATTTATTGGCATGACAACATTAAATCATTGGCAAGTGATCATGATGGCTTCTTTTTCTTCACAGAAAAAGATATGGATTGCAATATGCATTGCTATTTTAATTGTAATAATAGTTATTATCCTGGCTACCTCTTTGAGATGAGGTGAGTCCCATCAATTGTTTTAAATTTATGCAAAATTCAAACTTTATGCAAGCTATTCAGGTGAAAGGTGTCTGTTATAGCCAATTGTCTTACACCTCTGTTTTTACTATTCATATTTATTTGATTTAAATAATTTTTCTTTTCTTTTTTCTTACAGTGTTTTCCTTTATTAGACTTCTTTGCCCACCAAGCACTGGGTTTTCCTTCCTAAACTTCTTCCTGAAGTCCCCAATGCAAAGAACATGGCCATGCGTACACATGACCATTATTAGTGTCCCATCTCTAGCTACATGTATTTACATTTTAAAGTGTTAATTAGTTGTTTTAGCTGCTTTGACCTACAAAGGATTTGATTTCAGACTCCTGAAAATGTGTCAGTGGCACCACTTGGTTATAAAAAGTGAAATGGTAAAAACTGTTTGAATTAACTGATTACTGGATTGACTGGATTTCCAAGATGGTGGGCTTAATTTGCAGAAACCAACACTTAAACATGGTCATATAGGGTAGATTAAGAAAAAATGCTAATAAGATTCCTAATATATAACTCTTCCATTTGGAGACAAGCTCAAGAACTCTGAGTGATGGGCTATTTGTCTTTGCCCTACTATGCTTATAAGATGTCTTTTGCATTATCTGTTGTGATTTATCCTTTTATTATGTCATTTCAAGCTTAACATTTGCTGAAAATAGCATTTGAGGTCATCTGTATATAAATATATATGTAACTAATTTTATACTCTGCTTTGCATTATAGTAACTACCTTTCAAAATATTTCATCTCTTGCTCTCACAATGACATGTTGCATACATGTGTATATTTTAACACATTTGTGCTCAGAAATGAATATGTACAGTTACTTGTTTAGTGCCTCAGCCTTGGTGCCTTTTCTGTGTGGCACTGTAAATGTCAAGATCACCAAGAGTGCTTATCTGGTTTCACTGTGCAGCCTCTGGACTTACTGCCACACATTTCATTCATTACGGTGTAAAATTGAAATTTTTAAATAAACTACATGTATATTTTATAGTTGTGTAGTGTTTTTTTTTCTTCTTATTTCCTTGTCTTTCAAATAATTGTTAAAATTTTAGCACATTATTTACTGTTTGTGTACAACTGATTGACATTCGACATTAGTCTGCTTTCTTTTTTTTGGGCGCAGTTGGTTCGTCACACGTACATAGTCTTGTGGCAACCTAACATCATTCGTTAACTGTTAATATGCATGTTTGAGCTGTTTTAACTGAAAGCAACTTGCACTGACATATTTTAATATATGTCTCAGTGCCAATGTTTTGTCTCAAGATTCACACCAGTAATGTTTTTTTTTTCTTTCTAGGGCACGTTTAAAAAAGCTACTTAAATGTCCTAATTGAACTAAAACCTAATCCTGTCTTAATCTTAAACCCTGTCTCTGAAATTGGGTACTTACTATAGGGTTTGGTTTAGGGTTAGTTGCATGTAATTACGCATAATTTATAGTTACTAGTAAAGTAAGAATGACACTGTAAAATAAAGTGTTACCAATTTGTATGTATAAATAAATCTATTTTTGTATATAAAAGCCCTCGAGCTACCCATCAGTCTTCTGTTCAGGAAGTCACTTTGTGAATACTGATTTTTATTGCTAAACAGTTGAAATGTGTATATCTAATAAAATAATTCATACTTTAAAGCCTATATTAGGGTGATCAGTCCCTTCATTATTCATACACTGGATGACGATACAGGAATCCCCCATTACACTAGTGCCCGACCTGTGCGTAGAACTACACCTCCCAGATTGTGTTTACTCTCTGCTCCCATAATAGCAACAGCACTGCCTGTTCAACACGTTCTGGACTACGGCACAACGAGGTTCAGGTAACATTTTGTTTAGGTAGTTGTATATTTTGAAAAAATTACCAAATTACATGAGTGAACACGTCCAAGCTTGGGTTTACAGTGATGCTGATATTTAAAGTAGGCCTATACAAAGTTTTTATTTCAAGATAACAAGCTGTATCGTGTTACATAAATATAAAGTCTTTATATCTTTACGTATTTACCGAGCAAAGTTAAGTTGTGTTTTCAGTCGATGTTGTATCACTTTTGTTTAGTATACGCCCGTGACTAAATGAAAGTGAAAGGACGTCACTCAAAGGCACAATCAACCACACTGGCTTTAAATGATATCATTGTTTAAATTAATACGTTTTTGCTAACTGTGTGATTATGTACATTTCTGAAGTAGGCTACATAACTAGACTGTTACCTCTGATAACAGCACTTAAAATTAAATTGGAATGTGGACTCATGCATTCTGTAAAGCTGCTTTGAAACGATCTACTTGTGAATAAGTGTGAATTGAATGGACTTGAATTTTTGCTAAACTCTTTTGACGAATTGAGGTGACCGTGTCCCCCATAAATGCAGAGATGAACGACGGAACGGAGGAAGAAACGGTTCCCGTTGTAATGGAGACCTCGTCATACTCGCAGGTAGTTTTCAACGATGTTCCTCCATCATATCCGCCAAACACCGCGGTTTCGTGCCGGTACACTGTCACCGGTGAGCTGCAGCCCAACCCGAGGGACTGGATCGGTATCTACAAGGTGAGTAATTAATAACATGAACTCATGTACAGTTTACTGACGGCTATTTCCTGATTGCCTATTTATTATTATTATCATCACACTTTTTGCATTTTATAATGGATAAAAGTTGTATTGTATTGCATTCAAAGAAGTTGAATTTAAATCTGTGAAATTGTTCAGGTTGGCTGGAATTTGACACAGCAGTATTATAGCTATGAATGGGTGGAACCTTGCCTGGGCCATATCGGACCTGAACCGATTGTGCATCAAGTGGTTTTCAAAGGTAGGAATTCATCCTCTTAGCTCCAAAGGGACCTCAACACTGCACATTTTATATTACTATTTTGTTTATCATAACTTTCCAGTTTGTTCCATCCATGACCTGAACTGGTGATTGGTGCCAGAAAAAAAGTCTTTAGATCTTAAAACCTAAATGTATAATCATGTTTGTGACATTCAACTAGGTAAGCAAATATTCACTATTGGAGGACTTGATGTGTCCTCGGTGTCTGTGGTTAGGGCCCTGGGGCCAGTTGCATAAACTTTGCATAAGACTATATAAGTAAAGCACTGGTTTTGTTATCAAAAATTTTTAGAATGTTCATAACTTTTTTTAAAGCGTAAAAACGTAGGTGGGTCTAATTGACACCAAAAATTAAGACTGATTGCCCCTTGGCTCATACTTTTTTTTTAGATACTTTCTTCATACTAGATCTTAAAGTCCCTGTAAAGGCAATTTCAAAAAAAAATTCTAAACACATTATAAATGTTAGAAATGTATTGCTAAAACATATTACAAAGACTGAACTGTGAAGTACTGATTTGTGGAGTTAGACCGTTAAACAGTTTTTCACCATTGCTATTTTCCGGATTTTCTGGGCGGGGCTAAAACAGGGCTCGATGACGCACTGGAGCCCTTGAGCTCCTGGACACGCCCCTACTTGATGACGCACTGTAGCCGCTGAGGCTGGCCACTCCTAACAATATTATAGAGCACATTCACATAAGTTTGCCGCTCAATCGCGAGTTACTGTCAGCACTATTATTAGTAACACAGCCTACAGATTGCTAGCTAGCTATGCCTTCGTCACGGAAATGCGTAGGCCTACTACCTGGATGCGATCACCGGATCACGTACAAAACAGATCGGTGTCCTTATTTAAATTTCCGAAAAACGATTACATCAAGAAGAAGTGGATTAATTTTGTGAAGAGCCACCTTGATGGAGAGCTGAGGATCACCGCCAACACCCGCCTCTGTAAGTGATCATTTTACACGGGATAGTTTTATAAACTTTCGTCGGAGATAACTGTCTGTGATTCACTGATAATCCGCTGTTACTGGTGAATGGGGCCGAACCGACTCCCGCCTGGCCTTCATCCTCCCGTCGCGCCGACAACTGGTGTCATCGGCAGTGCGTGCCCACCGTGCGAGCATCTATTCCGGCTGTAGAGTTGAGTGTGGCGAGTCGACGGCAGCTTTCCCGCGAGTGGGCGTGGTTTCAGCGCAGCCAGTGGACACGCCTCCAGCGTTTGAGAGCAGAGAATACTGCTCATTTCTTCAAGATTTTGATAGCTTATTTTATGTACTTGCTGGCTTTTTTTATCATTCAAATTTGGCTGGGTGACTAATAACTAATTTTTCTGTGGTGTGACAAACTCAAAACACATACTTAATTTTGACTTTACAGGGACTTTAAAGGGGAGGTATAATGTCCTTTTCACAAGATGTAAAATAAGTCTTTGATGTCCCCAGAGGGTGTATGTGTAGTTTTAGCTCAAAATACCCCACAGATATTTTTTATAGCATGTCCCTTTTTGAGGGTGAGCAAAAACACACCGTTTTTGTCTGTCCCTTTAAATGCAAATGACCTGCTGCTCCCAGCACAGGGGGTGGAGTTTGTCAAAAACGTTTAGCCTTTTATGTTCAAACCGGAGTCAGACAAAGATGGAGAGACTCAAGAAGAAGTGACAACATGTAGAAGCAACAGGACATTTCTGAATGGTTAGTTGATGAATTTATGTAGATTATCTGTAGTTATCTTCTAGTCATTGAATAGCATATTCTGTCTTGATAATCTATAAATCACATTCCCCATGGCAGGGTTTATGTAAATTTTAGGGTTAGTGATGTCACTAACCGGGGAGGAATGTCGTGTAGTCCCTACCAGCCGTTTGTTGTAGGCCTAGTCCTTAAAAAGCAATTTCTTTAAAAGAAAATATCTATCTCTGCTTTGAACTTTGAGCATTGTAACTTTACAGATGTTGTTTATGCTCAAACAGCAACATTACACACTAACTTAAGTTAGAAAAGTGAAATCATAATCAACCACCCCTTTAAGACACTGTTTTAACATAATGGCTATGTTCATGCAACTGGCCCCTGGTGTAATTACTGTGCATCAATTCCATGGATGTGACGTTGTGCTGCTATTTTAGTAAAGGCAGAACAACTTACTTGAGTGGTCCACATCTACTCATCCTGCTACTCAGGGGTCCTAAATCAAGGAACCATGTGATGTGTCAAGTGTCTCAAGAATTTGGTTTGCTGCCATGCACCACTTTCTTGGCAGTTAATTAAGTGTGGAGCAACAGAGTGAGGATTACTTGAGCATGGCAGGGTAGTTTTTTCATATCAAAAACATTTTTTATTTATCTTGCTCTCGAGTGATACGGTAGACATTAAACTTTGGACCTTACTAGGGATGCACTCATAAACAATAAATGGATATAAAATGATATACTATTTGTCTAAATAAATTAAAAATATAATACTAAAAACTAAAGTCACTTTAAATGTGACTGCTGATTTTACTGAAAAATTGGCTGATTTGGGTTTGGAGTGGCCATAGAAGAAGAACATAATGGATTTAAATAGCATATACACAGTTCAGTGTAATGATAACATTTTCCCTCTTTAATGCTGTTAAACTGAATGTACAAAGCAAACTGTTTGTTGAAAATATCCACAACTTAACAACACTGAAATAGGAGCGCACAGTTTGTCTCTCAATCAATTGCATGTTGCGTTCATTACTATAATAGTAGGTGTACACACACACACACATTATTTATACATATATATATATATATAACAATAGTGGATTTACCATCCAAATTTAACTTCTAATGATAAAAGGTATGTTCTTAAAGTAACCTTCTCCTATTAAACACTTTCAGTTAAACACAGTCAGTTCAAGAATAATTAATGCAATTTAATATTATTTATTTGATAGAATTATAAAGAGCAGTATCATGTCTATCCTTGTATTGTTCAACTGGTCGAGGTTGATATGGGATTTAGAAAGTAATAAGTAATGCAATATTTTTCAAGAGAGTTATTTGTACAGTAATCTAATTACACTGTTGAAAATGTATTTAGTAGCTAGTAATTACTTTTTTAGAGTAACCACTACCCTGTACTAAATTCTGATGACGTTGAAACTCTACATGATACAGATTTGTTTGTTCTCAGAGAGCTACCTGCCCAAGGATGATGGAGAGTTTTATCAGTTCTGCTATGTGGACAGCAGCGGTTATGTCAAAGGAGCCAGCACCCCGTTCTGCTTTCAAAGCCCAGCAGAAACAAGCCTTGACTGCAGCTTGGAGAAGGACCTGTTAGTTATAACAACACAGGTACAACTTGGACACCATGTGGAGTTAAAGTTTCTAGTAGCTTTTCCTTTTTGCTAGCCACTAAAAGTTTAATACTTAGACCATTTGGCTACAACATCTGTTATTCAATGTCCTTGTGAGTAGGAGCAGGCAGAAAAGATGGAGAAAGAGAAAGAGGACTTTGTCAAAGAGATCGAGCACTTAAAAGAAACAAATGAGATCCTGAAAACTGAGTTGGAGGAAAGACTGCATGAGATGTGCCGTCTCAGGGTTAGTCAGATTCTCTTCCTTTTACAACACTTGTTATGTACTTGTTATTTACAGTCTTTGTGCTACCTCCAATTGTACTGGATGTTTTTGTAATGAAGGTCAACTGACTGTCATAATGTCTCGTCATTTTTAGACACTTGTCTTTGTGTAGTGGGGAATGTTGTACTACTTGTCCTAATCAGTGGTTTTTTTTTTTTACTATTATTTGTATACTATCCTATAGCTTTAACTGTCATATAACTTAGGATAGCATACCTTTACTATCCTATCATTTGTATTTTCAGTTTGTACTTTATTTTTTAGTTTGTTTTAGTAAGTTTATTATGTGTCATTATGTAATTTTATTTGTTTTTTTAATATTTCTGTGTAGTTTTAATTATTATTATTTTTTCATTCTTAGTTATTTTTAGTTTTAGACTTAAACTTATTTCAGTAAGTTGTCAAGGCAACATTTCTCATTTTCATGAAGGTTTTTCCATCTAATATTCATATTTTATTTAATTTAAATTCAGTTACCGAAAACTATTTTAATAGTTTTTGTGTTAGATTTTGTTAACAAATATCAACACTGGTTCTACTGCATTGTTCTTGTACTGACGAAACACCACTGTGATCATAAAGTGATCATAAATGTGCCTTTATACTAAACTACAGAGCTCTCTAGATGATGTGAAGTCAAAGGATAAGCCGGAAACACCGCTGCCAGATGTGGAGAGTTTTAACGCCACTGAAGAGGTAAAGATCAAGCTAACACCTAGTTGAAACATGTCTGTAATTTTATCTGTAATTTTAATCTGCCTGATTGAGAATTGTATGAGATATGTATAACTTTTATCAAACAAAATTATTCACAGTCACTGAACGTTCTTCATGAAAAGTATACGAGAGCTGTTCAAAAGATCCACATGCTTAAGAGTGAAAGGACTGAGTTACAGCAACAGGTTGAACTCCAGGATGCCGAAAACCTCAGGTGAGTTTCCTTATTATGGAAATCTCTGTACCAAAATACGTTTTTATATGCAAATGTAACCGGTCCTACTCGACCCGCTACCAAAGTCTCCCGCGTGGGAGGCGGGCGTGCTAACAAGGACGCTAAAGATCCCAGCATGCCTCTTGAGGCCAGGGGAGTGAGGTTTACACGCACAGCTCTTACTTACCTATGTCTGTTACACTCACTGTACCTATGTCTGTTACAGGGAGTGAGATTTTTCACATGCACAATTTTAATGCGCATGTGAACGCATGTGAACGCCATCAGGTCACAGGTTCGCGTTTAAAGTCTGTTTAGAGAGAAGGCCATCGTCTTAGTGGCCCCTAATGTAATAACAAATGATAATTTTGCTGGAAGTGAATCAATCAAAACTAACTTTAGCTGGAAATAACATTATTCAAAAATCGCTATAAAGCCCAAACTATCTCTGTTACCGTAAATTGTATGTTTATCTCTGTAAAGCTGCTTTGAAACAATCTCCATTGTTAAAAGCGCTATATAAATGAAGATGACTTGACTTGACTCCCATCCGGGACATGGCACCAAATGTAACAGGTCCTACTCAACCCGCTCCGAGCGGGACTTGAACCGGGGTCTCAGGTAGGGGAGGCGAGCGCGCTAACAAGGACGCTAAAGACCACAGTCGCTAGTGTGCCTCTATAGAATGTTTTATTTTCATCTGTCCTTTTTCTCCAGGCTGAGTACCTTGCTGAAAGAAACCGATCAAAATTACAACAAAGTACAGGACCAGGCCAAGTTGTTACAGGTTTGCAAGTGCTTTCTCATTATGTGTTCTTACCGTTAATGATAATTAAGAATAAAATTATTTATTTATGTAGTCATAATCCATGACAAGACCAAGACACAAAAATACAAGTGACAAAATAGAGAGAAAAATGAAAAGTAAACCAAATTAAATTAACACAAAAAAAAGGCAGGGAAACAAGTTGTGGCATAACTAAAAGTCAGAGTAAATACACATTTTTGAGCAGGTCTGCGAGTTCACCAGTTGACTTCAATATGGCATTTATTTTATTTTAGGTGGATGTGCAAAGCAGCAGGAAAGACAATGAGAAATTGCTCGTCGAAATACAGGCCCTCAAGATGAATAGGTCTCTGGAGGACCGGAGAGCTGAACACAAAGCATTACAAACATCCATGTTAGAGCAAGGAGCCCAAGAGAAAGAAGAAAACAAAGTGAGGCTTGTTTTTAATAGAAGTTTGAAGCATCATGACTTCAAATCATTAGTCAGTAATAACTGTATCATCATGAAGTAATCTCTGTGTGACTGAACACTCAGGTCCAGATTCAGGCTCTGCTTACTCAGCTGACAGAAGCCAGAGGCCTGCTTCGCAGTGAGGTGCAGAACTGCAAAGAAGCCAACAAGCGTGCAGAAGGAGCTGAGCAGGAATTGAAGGAAGTGAAAAAGAAGCTGGAGGAGATGGCCTTGAAACAGGCTGAGGGCGAGAACACCAATCAAATCCATGTATTACACGGTGTCATGTTTTTTTTATTACTTTTTTTAAAACTTTTTTTGTGAGTATCAATAAGTATTTCAACCCTGATTCAAGACAATTCTGTAATTACAGGCACAACTTCAGCAGGCACAAAACAAAATTTACGAAATGGCAGAGGCATCAAAATTAGACAGAGAGACGCTTGAAAAGAGGAATGAGGTGATCTGTTTTGTTATGACACAGATTAAACATCACTGTTAGGTGCATTACCGTTCAAAAGTTTGGGGTCTGTAATATTTTTTAATGTTTTTGAAAGTCTCTAATGCTCACCAAGGCTGCATTTATTCGATAAAATATATAAAATAATATAATGGAATTTAAAATAATCATATTTTAATACTGTAATTTATTCCTGTGATGGCAAAGCTGAATTTTCAGCAATCATTACTCCAGTCTTCAGTGTCACATGGTCCTTCGGAAATCATTGTAATATGTGCTTATTTGGTGCTCAAGAAACATTTTTTATTATCAATGCTGAAATCAGTTGTGCTGCTTAAAGGTACTTTGGAGCTCTAGTGGTTAAAAAACAAAATTTAATTTTGCGGAAGAACATTGTTTTAACCGTGCTTCCTGTGCGGAGGAATATTAACCTACTGCTCATAAAACATTCACTACTAGGCTTAAGCGATATAACCAGTTTAGATGGAAAGGATCTCAACTGACTAGCTGAAGATGCCACTGTAGCTACACCCATTAATAGACACGGTACTTCCTTGAAAATAAATTCCAGCGCTGCAACAACCATAATGAAATGACACTTCACAATAGATAATGCTTGATGAACTCTATTTGTGAGCTACATGGCAATTTATCTGTTCAATAAAATGCCTTACTGCCCTGTTGAGTAATAAAAACGCCATCTCTGCGTCGCTTTTACAACATTTCAAATCCCTCAGTTCTTGTCCCTCAGTCAATCTTGTTTCTGGTTTTATTACGTGCTCTGTCACGTTCTCTTTTGCTCTTCTGTTCAGCATTTTTTTATTCCCTGAGGTTAGAAATTTAGCGTGTTCTATGTCAACCTTTGTCGCTTGTTGTGCCAGCTAACTTATGCCACACACCATACATGCGTCAAAGTAGCCAGAGTAACTTTTCTCTATCTACGGATATGGACAGTCGTGGCCTTATGGTGAGAGTCAGACTGGTTTGATTCTCAATACCGGCAGGAAATGACTGAGGTGCCCTTGAGCAAGGCACCTCACTCACAATCGCTCCCCGGGGACCGCAACAAAATGGCTGCCCACTGCTCCGGGTGTGTGTGCCCCCGGTTTGCAGAGTGTGTGTGTGTATGTGTGTGTTCACAACACATTGCTCCTAATGTGTGTGCACTAACTTGGATGGGTTAAACACAGAGGACAAATTCCGAGTTACCATACTTGGCCTTCATACTTGTCATGTCACAAGACACGCACGAGTGATGTATATACGCAATTTCCCGCAAAAACCCACCCTGACCGGGCTATAACAGGCTTACCATAGTGAATCAGGGTAAGACAAAAAAACATGTTTTGAAAGTAGGATTGATGTTGTGTTGACTCATTATTTAAATTGTGTTAATTTTGAACAAATAGAAGTTACATAGCGTACCTTTAATATCTTTGTGGAAACCGTAGTAACATTTTCCCCCAGGATTCTTTGTTGAATAGAAAGTTCAAAAGAACAGCATTTATTGGAAATGTCATGTGTCCTTGCCAAATAAAAGTTGTACTGACCCCAAACTTTTGAACAGTAGTACATTTTAGGAACTTAATACAACAGACGTTGTGGAGTTCAGAGCACTGAACTACATGCCAGTCAATTATTATTTAATAATTATTAAATTATTCTTATTTGATGTAGTCCCCCCCTCCCCCCTTTTTTATCTCCAGGAACTGCTGGCAGAAGTAGATAAACATCGTAGGTTGTTGTTTGACTACCAGGTTGCATCTGTTGCCGCACTGTCTGATCAACTACCAAACCCTCAAAGCCCACCCACCTCCCATTACTATGAGACCATTGATGATTTGACAGGTCGGTAAAATAAGTTATCTTAAAAGTTGAAACATTCAGTTAGACAAAAATCTCTAAATTGTCTCAAAAATGAGTGTGTTAACCTGATAACCTATTATATTTGTACATTATAGCAAATCCTGCAGAAACAGAGATACAGGTAATTACTTATTTTTAATGAATACAATATTTCGAGAATGAGTTTCCGCAGAGGTCAAAATGATTGAATTGTATGCATTTCCTGATGTGCAGATTAGGGTGTGCCAGCACTGTCAGGAGGGTTTTCCTGGCATCAGCGAGGAGGAATTGGAACAACACGAGCAGTCTCACAAATTGTGTCCATTCTGCACTCAGATCTTTGACGACTGGCAACAGCAGGAATTTGAAGATCATGTCTACGGTCATGAGGATTAGTCAGTTCGGATTTCTACATCTGATATAATGTATTTAGTGCATCACTTTCGTTATTAGCTATTAATAGGGAAATTACATGTTTTTTTATTATTATTAATGAATGCAATATCATTGAATAGATAGAAGATACACAACAGACATAAGATAAAACTATTACCATTTTCTTTTATTTACCCATTTTTTTTCCCAGTGGTGAATCAGGTTTTAAAATAATAGACATAAAACATATTGAGGCTTGTGAGAAATGTGACTAAGTGGATGATTTTATTCTCAAGTTTGTTCCCTCTCAAACAAGCTTTGCTCACACAACATTGTGGCATTCTTTGACCTTCACCCTAATCTCCTCCTCCTTTCATGACAATATATTTACAAAATAATGTCTTATTCTCAAGGTGTCATTTGGCTGGCCTCCTCAGGCGTAACGTCTTGCAAAAACAGTTCTGCGAACAGAGCTGGCAGCCAGTACTGTGGCTCCACTGCAGCTTGGGAGTCCAGCCACGCTAAGCCTTCTTTCAGCAGGTGATCCTGAAAACAGTGCAAAAGATATTAAAGAGCACCCATTATGCTTTTTTTTTTTTACATTTTCAACTTTCTTCAGTGTGTAATGTTGCTGTTTGAGCAAGAAAAAGTTCAGTAAAGCACAAAGGTTACGTTCATAGTGCGCAATTCCGATTTATTGCTCAGATCCGATTTTTTTTTGTTTAGCTGTTCACATTGTTGTTTTAATGGTGACCAGTATCAGATTCCATCCAGTGCGAACCGATCATGGTCCTGGACTGACCCGTATGCGCAAAAGAATGATAAAAAGATGTCGCGAAGCACTCTGTCATACGGAAGTCAACACAAAGGCTGAATCCGAAATCGCCCTCTATACCCTCAAATAGAGCATTATTTAAGGAGACGGCCATTTGTAGTGTTGTCCGAAACCATCGTGGACATCATCAAGTGCACTCATTCTATCCCACATTGCACTGCAATAACGAGTGTACATCCGATGTACGCTCAACGGCTGTCCGAATTCGCTCACTCGTTTTCATTCACTCCTTCAAGTGAACTATATTAGTGGACTAACGTAGGGAACAGTGAATGAGGGTTTGGGGGCGATTTCGTATTCAGCCTTAATGATCACGTGTTTATTTATAGTTTGATCTGCCGTGGAAGCCAGCGAATCGATGTGCAGGGCAGGCTTTATAAAAACAAAGACGAGGATATGAAAAAAAGAGCAGTTTTTAAACATTTATGATACAAGCCCTCATGTTTTGCTGGTATTTGAGCTGTCACTTTTTCTTTTTCTGGAAACAAACTTTTTTGCATTTTCCTGTTATCTCTGTAAAGCTGCTTTGAAACAATCTGTATTTTAAAAAGCGCTATATAAATAAATGTGACTTGACTGTAATACTTATGAGTTCTGACATCACTGTCCTTCCCATGAGCATAGACAGGATTGTAACAAATGTTGATCTGGAGGGACGTTAAAAGTCGCATGAATAGACTGAGGTCGCATTGCAAATCATCTTGAAAAGATCAGATTCCATGTAGCTTGTGCTGTTCACACAGATCTGAGTCACATGGAAGCAAAAAATAGATTTGGCCCACATTTACCTGCAGTCTGATTGTAACCAAAGTCCACTCCAAAGGGAGTTATTCTCTTTATCAGTAAGCTCTGTTTTTGAACTCCCTGAAAGAGGGGCTTTACAAGACAGACTGGGAAGAGAGCTTCAGTAACAATGTAAAATATGTGGAAAAATTGTGGGGGTTTTTAACATTCAAGTATGAAAACCTATTCAAGTAGACCCCAAAAACAAAATCAAGACTTAGTAAAAGGGCAAAATAGGTCCTCTTTAACTTGTGATATAAAAGCAATCAGAGTGGTGTTTTGTTTTTCCTGCACACTTACAAGAACGTGACAGGCCCGCTCTCTCTCCCACTTGAGGCTGTCTCTGATCTCGCTCACTGTCACATAGCCCTTTTTCTGTAAAACAAGGCCAATAATCAGATCTGACATCACAGAAGTGTAAAGGCCTCAGACTTTGAGTCTAGTATTGATTACCTCTGCTAGCTGAAGGACAACAGTGTGATCCATGTTGAGCTCTGCTGGGACCGACTGGACTAGATAAGAACCTCCAACTGGAATCATCCCGAAGCCATTTCCCATGGCCTTGAGCTTCTTGATGGCCCGCACCAAGTCATCCCTGAGTGACGATATTAATGGGTGGTGAGAGAATTCTTGTGTTCAGAATCGCTAGAGAACAGTATATCACACTCACTGGCTCACATCTTGAGCAAACTTCCCTCTTCCTTTCAAGACACGGTGGTGAAGTTCCTCCAATGTGATGAGACCTGCACAAATAAAGTTATTTATTAATATTTACAATTATTTTGATTGAAAGTGAAAGGTTTTAGGGAGTTGTACTGGGCAGTTAGATGGTCATTATTGCAAAACAAATCAGGTGACAAGGTGATCAGGTCTTGTACGGTGTTTAGAGACTGTCGTAGGAACGTGTCAACATGACTTAGAAATATCTGACTTCTGAATGCCACGATTGACCAATCAGAATCAAGTATTCCAGACAGCTGAATAATCATAATAGAGCATTGGTTTTGCCACACATATGCAATATCTCCAAGGCACACAATAATACTACCATCCATATAAGCCTGTTTAATTGATAATAATATGCAATACAATAACTGCGTAACCACTTTAACACAATGAAATGACAAAACTTACCACCATTTCTGTGTTTTAAAGCTAAACAAACTTCAATGATCTGTACACCAAGCTCATAGTAGAAATCTCCAACTCCAAGCATCTCAGACCAAAATCCTTTTCCTGCTGCACAAAAAAGAAAGAAAGAATAAAGTTCATAAGGTCATATAACTTTTTTTTACTGAAAATCTAATTATTTATCATTATACTTACAAAAACGTATTATTTATATTATAACTATACTATATATCATTTATATATAATGTAATTATTATAAATTATCATTATATGAATGAGTATAAACCATAAAAAGTAATAATAATTGACCATTTACAATAATTTATATAATTATACTTAGAATTTATAATGTAAATTATACAGATTTAATATGAGCACACTGTGTACACTGTAATATTACGGTAAATAATAAAATGACATTTTCGGGAAACATTTACGATAAATACATACAGGCAAGTGGATCAACCCCTATGGTGGCACACATCTCTTGGAACTGCACCCTGAATTGAGAGTTTTTACGGATTTCTTGTTTATGCTTGCTGGCAAACTCCTCCAAATGGGTCTTAAAGGTTTCCAATTGTTTTGACATCTACAGGGACAACACACACATTCTGATACCGTTGTTTTACATCTGTAAAGCTTACTTTCATTCAAAATCCATGTCGTGCTCATCAGGGTAACGTTACACGCACCTGTGCAATCTGATCCTCAGCCAGGACATTACCTCTCTCTTTATACTTTGCCTGTGACAGTAAACATATTAGCAGGATGAACATGCAAAATGATTTTCCTAGTTAATAAATCTCGCAGAAGTGCTGTGATCATACCTCTGCCAGTTTCTTCTTGGCGATCGCTCCAGCTCCGACTCCTCTTCTGTGCATGATGTCTAAATAAGAATCTCTAAAATACTAAAAAATTAAACGGTATTATTTTCCTGTTCTAACAACTATTGACTTCCTATTCAGCTGAACAGCTATGAGCTACATAGTAGCCTAACAAATCGATACAGAATATGAAGAAGCAGGCGAACTAAACTAGATATATTACAATAAAACAAACGAATAGTGTTGTTCTCTGTCAATTATGCTCTTTATCTACAAAGTTTCTAACAGTCCGGAAAGAAGACATCAACAGAAGTGTATTGTTTCTTCTGTACACGAGTTAGGGCTCGTCGTCACTAATGTTTTGGTGAATGTGTCGATAACGACACCCATCGGACTGGAGAGCAACTGACGAAACAATGTTGGGATCATTATTCACATGAAAATATTTTCTTCGCTCTTAAAATATACTTTAAGCAGTTTAGAACACAAAGCGGAATTATACATACAATCCTCCCTGTCATTAATAAAATTGTAGCACGTCATCGGAAAAATAATCCTCAACCCAGGGCGCTGTTCATGTAAATCAGTCTATCAGACTGAAATTTACATGAACAGCTTAAACACCCACCTGTGTGAAAACACTAACAAATTTAGAAACACCCACTTTTGTTCCGCAGAGACCTCCTACTCCAATTTTCTGCAGTCGTGTTAATCTGATCGTCGTGTTTTTATCTTTGACTCTACTGCTATTTACGCTTTCAATAAGCTCAATAGCTCAAAATTTGATTCCAGGTTCAAGAGTCTTTGAGTCCTTTACTCGAGAACCGTCCCTGTCATCATAACACATCAAAAGTGTTGCCCTTTTTTGTATTTGTTACCAAAAAATTAGACGGCTTAAATTCAAGATTTAAACAATAAAGGTTTTATATTGATGTAGGATCCATCCGCTCCCATAGTGCAGAAACGAAGCCTCAAAAATTTGATAAATGTTGTTTTGATATTTATATCAAATAGTTATATGTTTATGTTCATTTTAACAACACAATTAACAACAAATATGTTCCCGTTTTACGCATTCAATTTTTTTTATCAGCTGGCCTTAATTTTTAGCAAATATTGGCTATTGATTTGTGTTTTATTAGTCCAGTCAACATTAGCCATTCTAAATGTTGACTGGGTTTGAAAATATCCCTTCATTTATTTTTTTAAAATATATTTTTGCAGACAAAATATAATGTCTTCTTAACTAATCCCAAGCATGAATATTAGTAAAAAAAAAAAAAAAATGCTATTCCAACGTTTTATTAATTGGCGTTTTTACAGCGTTTGAGTCCTTGACTCGAGATCCTTCCCTGTCATAAACGAGTCGTCCAGAGAAGTTTTGTGAACCGATTCCAAACGATTTATTGAAAAGTGCAGACTCAAATGAAGGATTTTAGCCGTAATGGCAGCTGCTATTTAGAATTCCATTATAAAACACTATGATGTCATAATATGCGGGCCGCGGTAAAGTGCAAAGTTGAGCATCAGTCTGTCGAGTTCAGGAGGAAAACAGCGATTAGCAGTGATATCGGACTGTTGATATTTGCTAGTTCAAATCGGATTTTTGGATATTTTATCAATCTGTTGCAGAAGTATCATAGCAGACATATCAGATAATTGATTTTTGCTAGTGATATTGGATTTTTGGATAAGTGCCTTATTGTCAATCCATTGTGATTGATTGCGATCCATTGCGAAAATGACATTACTGAGCAAACTTTTTGGGTGCTTAAGCTTCTTCTTGCCAAGACACCACTTGTCAAGACAGTGCAGTAGCAGCATTCAGGAGGAGCCCATCCAGAGACCTCCAGAAGATACAGACATGGAGGAAGAGATTGACTATGTTGAGGACTGTCTTGTTGAGGTGGAAATATTGCCAGATTTCTCCAGTGCGGCAGAACCACTGATGATTCCAGTGGAGGAGCCTGAATCCCAAACTCCACATGCTGGAGTGAAAATATTTCCACGTTCCTGCACAGTGGCAAAGCCATTGTTGATCCAGGTGGCACCGCAACACCCTCTACCAGATGAGGTGGAAACATGGACATCTTTCTCCACTGTGGCAGAACCATTGATAGCTGAAAAGGAAACTCCCTCTGATGAGGTGAAAAAAATCGCCATGTTCCTTCACTAAAAAAGCAGAAATACTGATGGTTCAAGAGGCACATGCTGAGGAGGAAATACTGCCATTTTTCTCCACTGTGGCAGAACCATTGATGGCTCAGTTCGAAGAACCTGAAAAGGAATTGCCAAGCTCCTTCACTGAAGTGGCAGAAACACTGATGGTTCAGGAAGCACCTTGGCATCTCTCTCCATCTTCTGAGGAAATATCTTTCTCCACTGTGGCAGAACCACTGATGGTTCAGATGGCACCAGCTGAGGTGGAGCAAGAGCGTCCACCTCAAAGGAGAGGGAGGAGAAGGAGAAAGAAGGAGAGACAGACATACTCTTCAACTATAAAACTTCCAGGTGCAACTCCACCAGCTAAGCCAAAACATGCTTGGATGGATGTCAGTCCTGCACAAGATACCAAGGCCAAGGAAGAGACGATAAAAAAGGAGAGAGAGGTTGAAGATAATCTGTAATGAAAATGACCAGGTGTGTACACTGTAAACAATAATTGTTGGTTTAACTTATAAAAGTAAGTTACCTGGTTGCCTTTTTTAGTTCATTGAAATAAAATATTTGAGTAAATAAAATGTAGGAAATTGGTTTAATTAATAGAAACTAAAATAAAATATTTACTAAATAGAAACTTAAATAAAATATTAAAATATAAATTTAGCTAATTAATAAAATATTATGCTATGAACCACATTAATTATCTAAGTTGATTTGACAAAAGATTAAAAGTTGTGATAACAAATCATGAAAATATATGTTTTTTTTACAGTGTAGAAATAGTGGAGGTGGATCTGAGACAAGAAAGGTGAATGAAAAAGGAGAGAAAGACTGAATATGCTACTCCACCACCAGCAAAACCAAAGCTTGCTTGGACGGAGATGGATGGAGACACATACGAAAAAAAGAGAAGATGAAAAGAGAAGGCCTGAAAGACAAGCAAAGATAGAAGATAGAAAGACAGAGCAGGCAGCAGATATTACTCCACCTCCTGCAAAGGGGAAAAAGACACACGTACAGGAGGAGCCTGAAAGCAGCAGCAAAATCAGCCAGAAGTCCAGCAGAAAGCAGAATGGACTTCTTCTCATTTATAAACTGGCAGATAAAAAGGTCACTGCAGAGAGAGAGAAGAAGAAAATCAGAAAAGAGGAGAAAATACAAAGGCAGTTACTGTACGAAAGATACGTCAATGATCCATCCATGAAACACCTGCTTATCAACAAACACAACAGGTTCAGTGGTTTCCCTCTCATCATCTGAGCATCAAGAAAATATACAATGAAAAACATTTAAAGCAAATAAAACATTTTTATCAAATCTTTCTGATCCCCCCCCTTCGTCACTCGGAGAGTAAGGTCGGTGGTGGCGCGCAGCTCATCAAAGAGCTCTTGGTCAGCTCTGCCCTCGTGCATGTCCCTGAGCATCCTGGCCTGGTAGACCTGGAGGATGGCCATGGCATGCAGTGAGGCGGCGGCCTGCCCCGCAGCTCTGTAGGAATTCGCCACCAAGGTAGACGAAAACCTACAGGCTTTGGAGGGGTGCTTTGGGTCACCACGCCACATCGAAGCACTCTGCGGACACCGTTGTATCGCAACAGAGCGTTCGACAGGGGGAACCCCAGTGTACCCTTTCACCGCGGCCTCATCAAGGGCAGAGAAGGCATAGGAGGTCGCCGAGCGATCACGGGAAGACAACGGGGACTTCCAGGAGCTTGTGACCTCCTCATGCAAGAAAGGAACTGGGGGGGTGCGCCGACGAGAGTCAGCGCGTGCAGCCCCCAAGAACCAATCATCCAACCGCGAGCGTTCAGGAGAGGGTGGAGAGTACCACGCTAATCCGACACTCACGGCGGCCCGGGAAAGCATAGCTGTCAGTTCCGGGTCGGACTCGGACAATGCTGCGACCCCAGGGGGCGGCAGCACATCCGAATCCTCATCCACAGAAAATACCAGCTCGCCTTGTGATGCGGCGATCGACATCGCCTCATCATCTGGAGCACCGAATCAGACACGAGGCACATCCGAAGACGGATCCGTAATTGAGCAGGAAACAGTTGGCCATATCGAACACCTCGTTGCTCTCGTAATAGTTTCCTGACGTCCGTGAATGCGGCCCGTGCTTTGGCGACACTGGCAGTGTAATCCGGGACTATTGAGATGGAATTGCCATTCAACTGGAGCGGAGCTTGTCTGCGTGCTCGACGCAGGACCTCAACGCAATCCTGATAGTAGTGTAGCTTTGCTACTATCACCCGTGGCTTTCCTCCAGGGATCAATGGTCTTAGACTGCGATGCGAGCGGTCTACCAGAACTTCTTTATCCAGTTTCAGCACCTCGGATAGTAATTTAGAGACCGACTGCGTGGAAGCTGATCCCGGTCCCTCCGCGACACCCACGACTCGAATATTGCACCTCCGCATCCTCCCCTCCATGTCCTCGGATTTGTCTCGCAGCTCTTTCAGTTCCAATTTTAAAGTACTCACCACGGCTTGTAGTTCGTTCACTTCATCCGTCCACGTTGACATACTGCCTTCCATATCTTTAATGGCAGTTTTCATTTGTTTAATGTCAGTCCGCATTAGCGTCGCATTGTTTGCAATTTCCGTTCTGACAGCTTGCAGCTCGCTCTTTAAAAAATTGAAATCGTCAGCGAGAGAGTTCTTAAGTTCAGTTCTTATCACTGCGGAAATATCTGCTTTTAAGGATATCAGGATCTGCGACTTCAATTCTTCCATATCGGTCATGTCTGGCGAATTCGGTGTGTGGGCACGGTCAGAAGCTGAACTCTGCGTCGAGGAAGTATTAGACCTAGAACTGCAGGATCCTCTGTATTTACACTCACCTAAAGGATTATTAGGAACACCTGTTCAATTTCTCATTAATGCAATTATCTAATCAACCAATCACATGGCAGTTGCTTCAATGCATTTAGGGGTGTGGTCCTGGTCAAGACAATCTCCTGAACTCCAAACTGAATGTCAAAATGGGAAAGAAAGGTGATTTAAGCAATTTTGAGCGTGGCATGGTTGTTGGTGCCAGACGGGCCGGTCTGAGTATTTCACAATCTGCTCAGTTACTGGGATTTTCATGCACAACCATTTCTAGGGTTTACAAAGAATGGTGTGAAAAGGGAAAAACATCCAGTATGCGGCAGTCCTGTGGGCGAAAATGCCTCGTTGATGCTAGAGGTCAGAGGAGAA